CCTGGGGCCTGGTGCAAGTTGGGGGGGTAGATAAGCTGGCTGTGCCGGTTCGTTTGGCGCCGGATTTAGGTCCCTGGGAGCGCTAGTTGCTACGTTCCCTTTTAATGGTTGTGGCTGGTGTAAATCCCTTCTAAAATAAAGGCACTAAGCCTTTATTAAACAGCTCGGCCTAGTCCCTACGCCTAAATAAGATACAGCAGAAGATAACTACCTCAGATTAACTATTTCTTTATCTATATCAGCCACCATCTTTTTACTATCTTACCTTTCTTAATACTGCAGCGTTTATCGCGTACTGCCTAAAGCGGTACTACGCGAAGGGGGTGTGTTAAAGTATACGCAGTTTATATTGCTTTTTCTATAGCTTAGTCATTTAGCATAGGGTATAAGAGGACTCCGCCTACCGGGCTCCTAACAAGATCATGCCACTTATTGCTATTAATTGAAACCCCATTCATTGCAACAGCTTATATGTCCCGAGGATTGTAAAAGGCGTTCGACGCGTTAACGGAGAGTATCCGGTCTACTAGACGGCGCAGCGCTAGATCTGGTACGGAGTGAGCGCACAACCTGCGGCCCAATCCCTAGAATTAGTAGTCTCAAAAGAGTAGTGAAAATGTATATAGTAAGAGGCTTTATCGGTGGTAATAAGGATATAAATTAGATTTTTAAGGTGGCCGCACGACAGTCCAGGAACGACGCTTTGTCTGCAGCGAGATATAGGCGGGAAGGAAGTTGTGACACCGCGAGGTGTTGTAGAGAAGTAAGGTACGTAAAGTTAGTTAGAACTTCGAGTATCGGTATAGGATAGTACTATAAGTAATACTAAAGGCTATTAAGGCTTAAAAATATATAGAAATTATACCGTCTTCTATAGCTTAGGTAGCACGATGATATCGCTCTTTAAGAGGTATCTTAAGGATAGTAGAAAGCTCTATAATAGGTACTAAGAGTACTAAGAGATTGTAGAGCGAGCGGCTATATATAATACTCGTAGGAGGCTAATATAGGCTAATATTAATACTATACCGACGGCAAAATAACAGCTATAATAGCTATATTACTTTATATAACCTCCTGCAAAACCGTCGGAAATATTGTCGTTGTGCGTCGTGAAAAATAGCGTGTTTTTGGTGGGAAAGTTACGACGCGGGCGGGCCTCGCTTCCGCCTCGTTTGTGGGTCCATCTCGCGAGACGGTCTGTGCCGTTATGCGAAATGGAGTGCCGCCCTGCCTGCCCGCCGCTCGTCTCCTGCCCGGACCTCTTACTGCCGCGCGCCGTGCCGTCCGCACGTGGCGCTTTTAGCGAGGCAACTGACAGCGACGACGTCAACCCGTCTCTGCTAACCCTCTTCCCTTTCTTGCTCTGTTTTTTTTCAACTGTTGCACTTTAAGTCTCATACAAGCCTACGAGCCGATCTGCTCTTCTTCTCTGCACAACACGGAGCGAGTTGAGTTGGGTGCGGCGGCATGCTCTGCCTCCCCGCGGTAGCTGTTGGAGGGCCGGCCCTGACGACCATTGAACCGGCTCTTTTGGACGCTCTTTTCTGCCGGCCATGTTTCCTGCGATCGAATTTCCCGGCCGGTGTTTCCTGATCGCCTTTTCTCCGCCAGTCGTGACACGCCGTGTTTCCTGCCATCGATTCTCCCCGGACGCTCGGCCCGCGCGACGGCGAGGCGGTCGGGTGAAACGCTCGTGCTCGTGTTCGTGTTGGCAGTGTTGCTAGATTGAGGTTTGTGAAACTGCTGCGCTGCTGATTGCTTGCTCCGTTTTGGCTAGTTGGGACGTAAGCGGGGCGGACTAGCCTTTAGCCCTTTTCCTATACAATGGTTCTTTTTACTCCGATCTATAAACGTTTGTTGTATAGATAAGCGAGTCCAAAGCTTCTTTTATTCTTGTCCGTTTCCTTTACCTCGTTATCTGGAAAAACAGTGAACGATGAGCCGTCAGCTGCATTCTGCTTCCAACTCATCGGCTTCGAGCGCATCTAAAAAGGAAATTACATTACCCAACCAGAACCTCCGTTTCGACACAGCATGATCCGACCCTAGCGGGCCGGCCCCTGAGACAACACGGCGCCCGGCCCGGCATGAAACATCGAGACTCGCTTGCCCGCAATAACCACCCCAGCGCAATCTACGCCTGACAGCATAGCGGGGAGACAATCTTCGCGCGCCTAGGACGAGCTCTCTATATATACACACGGCGCCAACGTCGAACAGAGATCTTCCAAGCACGTCCTCGCGCTCGCCACATCACCCTCGTTACCTTCTTCATATAAATTCCTTCACACTCATTCAGCAGAGACCGGTTCTCTCCCACTCCCACAACAAAAACAACAACAATGTACTCCTACACCGCCGCCACCCTCGCCTTCGCGTCGCTAGCCCTACGCGCCAGCACCGTCGCCGCCGCCGACGACTTCTCCGACTGGGCCTTCGGCAACATGTTCGCGATCGGGCCGGCGTCAAACGGCGCCACCATCGCCAAGGCGACGTACAGCCTGGTGCCGCCGCCGGTGCCGTGCGGCGGCGGCGAGGGCGACGGCAACTCGTTCATGAGCATCTGGGTCGGCGTCTCCACCTCGACGTCCGATAACGATACCCCGCTCGTGCAGCCCCTGCTCAACTGGTCCCCGAACCAGGAGTCTCAGGGCTGCCCTGCGAGTGTTGAGGAGTGGTGCGTTGCGGCTAGCACGTTCTACCCCTCGGGCCAGGTCCAGCAGGACTACGTCACGATCCCCAAGAAGGGCACGGTCGACTTTGAGAGTATGTCCATGCGTTCAGGGAAGGGATAAGAGTTGGAGGTGATGCTAACGCGAACCGTGTGCAGTCGACGCCGAGTCCACGGAAAAGATCATCTCCAAGGTCTGGGTCAACGGCGAGAAGGTCTCGGAGCAAACCGACAGTAAGTCTTCGCTGCATGACCTCTTCTGTCACTCCACCAGCATCACTAACACCCACCGCAGAGGCCCCGCTCCCGACCTACTTCTTCTCGAGCAACGAGTGCTACCAGAACGTGTGCGGCAGCCTTAACAGCCACGAGTGGACCGACATCGTCATCACGCTCACGGAGGCGGATAAGAGCTTTGGCGACACGCTCGAGCTTACCGGCGCGACGTCCGATGGCCTTACCACGTCTGATGGCGGCAAGACATGGACGGCGAAGAGCATCAAGATTAATGGCGATGTGTTCCCCCATGGGGGGAAGGAGCAGACTTGTAAGGCTTAGGTGGTGGATGGAGTTGTGGGGTATGTGAAAGGGGTGATGAAGTGGCTGTGGATGTAGAGATAGGTGAGCGAATTTTTGCCTGTCTGGGTGTGATTCTGTTTTGGCTTAGTGCGTGCGTGAATGCGTGAGCAATCCGCGTGGTGGGGGGTGGGCAGGGAGGCCGCAGGGAGGGGGAGTAGAGTGGGGGAGAGTCGTTCGCACTCGCATGTGGCAACCCAGCCGCATCGCAACCTTCTCTATTTTAGTCCCTAGAGCATCCGCACCCCTCGGCAATGTATGTATAATGGTAGCTACTTAGCCGCATAGCGTAATCAGCGCAGTGCGCAAATTAAAATGTAAGCTGAGACGGATCCGCAGATCGCTAATATGCACGTGAGACGTGTATAAGCTTTATTAAGCGATAGGCTGAAGCTGTTTTGCGGTAGTGCGGCAGAAGCCTTAGAAAGTGGTAGGTAAGAGACATAGATGTTGCGGAGATGTGCTTGGCGTAGGGCTAGGGGTTGGGGTGGGTGGGGGTGTGTTGGGGGTTAAGCGGTCTCCGGGTACTTCGGGGGCGAAGATACGGTGAAGCCGTTTGATAGGCTGGGGGTTCAGATGGATGTAGCGATTAGCATAATGAAGCTTACGACTGTGCTTATGCGGTGTTCAGCTGGTGCTGCTGACAGGGGTCGTGATTTTAATAGGATGGTGCTTACGCCAGTGGAGCTGGTTTTGGGTGCTAGTAAGTTAGCGAGACGGTCTCTGGGCCTTAGGCTTACGTTTGACAGGGATTGTGTTCAAAATAGGATGGTGCTTACACCAGTGGGGCTTGTTTTGGGTGCTAGTAAGTTAGCGAGAAGATCCCTAGGCCAGAGGCTTACGTTGGATAGGATTCCGTTTTGGTTTCATGGACCTATTTATCTGATGTTCTCAGTCACGAAGTCTCTGCTATCTCTATCATTCTCTCATTTTACCTTGAGCCATCACCACAGCTTTTCAGATCAGCATCTTCACCCACCATGGCAGGCCAACCTTTCCCACTCAAGTCCTACCTGAGCGCTCTGAACCGGTTCCTAGACACGATCGACTACAACGACACGAACTACACGCGCCCCGAGCGCGTCCACCACAACAAGCACGTGTACATCGAGACGGCACGGCACTTTGCGCAGCCAGGGATACAAAAAACTTTGGGAGTGAGCGTGAAGCACCTCGAAACTATGATACGCACGATTGTCCTCACGGCCACCAACGGCTGGCCAAAGTGTCGTTGGAATGCCAGGTCGCGATTTGCATTTACTACACGTACATAGCGCTGCTCGACGACAGCACTGACGGCGACCCTCATGCCCAGATGGCGTCATTCTACGAGGACTTGGTCCAGGGGCGCACGCAAAGGCATCCGTGGTGGCGCCTCTTGAATGAGCAGATGCCTATCGTGTTGCAGCATTACGGCAGCTTCTGCCAGCTCAACCTGATCCGCAGCACGACGGACTGTAAGCGCCCAATCCCTTGCATAGAAAAAACGCCCCAGCAGCAAAACCATAAAAGAACGAACGAAATCAACCCAAAAAACAAACACTGACTCAAGCCCCTTCCTCTCCAGTCTTCACAGGCTGCTGGGTAGAACAGCACAGCTTCCAAGGCTACCCCGGCTCCAATGAATACCCGCTCTTCTTGCGCCGGCTCAACGGGCTTGGCCACAGCGTCGGGGCGCTGCTCTTCCCCTCGGCATTATTCGACGAGCGCACGCTATTCAAAGAGATCGCGACCGCGACGGCGCAGGTCGACCCCGTCGCGTACTTCGTCAACGACCTGTGCAGCTTCTACAAGGAGTGGGAGGAGCCGCGCGACCAGACCAACCTCGTCAAGAACTGGTGCGCCGTCGACGGCATCGACATGGACAGCGCGCTGGCGCGGCTCGCCGACGAAACCATCCGCTGCGTCGAGCGCTTGTTGGGCGTTTTTGAGGGGAAGAATGCGGCTGTAAGGGATACTCTTGCCGCGTTTGCCAATGGTTATGTTACGTGGCATTTTTGTGACCATCGGTATCGCTTGGATGAGGTTTATGAGCTGGCTGAGGGGTTGGGCGAAGAGGGCGAGAAGTTTAGAAGGTATTTTGAGACGGCGAGGGATGCGGGGTTTGTGCCATTGGAGAATTGGGCGATACCGAGGCTGGCGGATGTTATGGAGGAGGTGAGGAGGGAGGGGGAGGGCGTGGTTGAGGTTGAGACAACCTCAACGTCTGTGTCTGGGGGGTTGGTGGAGAGTGTGGCGTAGGAACTTTGGGCGGTGGGTCTTGTTTAACAGTTCACTTGGGGGTGAAGTTCTTTTTCTTTATTAACCCTTGTTAATAGAATCTTGATCTTCCGTATGTTTATGTTCTTGACCGGATGAATACTTTCGTTTGCGTACGCGCGAAAACGTCTTACGGAAATATCCTCGATATCTGCCAGTTTTCACCCTCTTGTAAATCAAGACAAATTTTCAAAGGCCAATTACGCTTCCTCTATAGGAAGCTCTGCGCTTATGCGTAGCATCCTCTGTCTGCTAAATTCCACTGCTGCTTATGTAGTTGCAAACGTTCATAGTCCCGTATTTTCAATAGAAAAGTGATCCATTAGGTTTCTGTGAGGCCGGATATATAGCATAACAGCGTGTGGAAGAATGCAAAGATTGTAATATTTGAATAAGCGATAGTAGTCCTACACACTACAAGAGCTAAACTTCTGATACCACGAATTTCTTGCTTTATTGCACGGTCTACCTTTGTCTAGTCTTTTGTTGTGCAATGACGTATTTGCCTTGTGTTTTTTTATTATCTTTTTTAATCTGATACGGAGCATGGAAACACCCTTCTCTGGGTTAACCATTTCACCTGGTCCTTAACAGAGTTTGCGAGGGACCCGCCGGATGGTCGGTGAAGATCATGGTTACAGCTGGAATGGCTGCTTTCACTTGCGCCTCAGGATAACCTTGTGTCAGCCAGGATCACTCCGATAACTCTCGTTTTTTCCAGCCTCATTACAGTCAGTTGTTACACAACAGCCTTACCCCCTGCACTACTCATTTATCTACTGCAAGGAAGCAATGTTCTCAAAGAGAAAACGTGTTCTTTTAGATAGCAGCATATATACCTCCATAGGTAGTAGTAATTTAGGAGGACAAGCGGCGTCCAATTCCTCGCGCCCAGCTTCACACCTTGTCAACGGATAATGGCGCGGGTTGCTGTTACCGTCAGTTCATGCTCGTGCTCGTCATTGTTGATTGCGACAGCTGAATACTGTCTTTAGCTTATGATGATTGCTAGTGTTTATGTTTTACCTGCGGTTTGCTCAAGCTAATTGCTGCGTACTTTGCTGTCTTGTCGTTGCTTTTCTTTGACTTATCGCAACCCTCCACATTTGGCGTTTTGAATATTTTCTTTCCATGCCGTTCAACTGTCAACAATCTTGAACCGCAACTACAGTCGGCCTTGGTTTTTGAGTCTTAAATAAGGCAATAGCGCTTACATAAACATCGCAAGATGATTTAATGATTTATTGTTGAGAGTCATGAATGCTCGCACTGCCGAAACTTCTATGTACAAGCTCTCGACGTTTTTCTTTCTACGGGAACAGCCGCATTGCTTCTTGGTGTTTCTTTTTAGTACATTTAGCCTATGCTTGTTTGTTGACAAGTCCATTGTTGTCGAACTTGTACTTTTCCTCCAATTCCTGGGAACCAGTCAATGAATTATCTCAAACAGTGGAATAGCGGCGCTACTTACCCAGTATTTGTTGAAGCCAACACCTTCACAAACTTCCGCGTACGAAAGAATCATAGGAGGCGGGCCTTCTGTCATGGACTTCTTCAGTGCTTCTAGAGTTTCGCGGATACTCTTCAGCTTTGCAGCTACAAGGGTCCATGGATATGCGACAGCACAGAAGCCTAACTCAGCCAAGTCTTTTGCTGAAAGGTTCTCCGTCTTTCCTCCCTCGATGACTACCAACGGTTAACACTGAGATGCCTGGATTGCACAAGGCGTCACTTACTGTTTGCGAAAGTTGGAATGCCAACTTCCTCCACGCACTTCCTCATGGATTCCCGGTCAGGAAGCGCTTCCACAAAAACAGCGTCCACACCGATGCGCTTGAACTCTTTGGCACGAGCCAAGGCCTCGTCCCATCCATGGATCAAGGAGTCTGTCCTTGCCATAACGAAAATATCCTTCCCTTCGTCTCTGGCATCGCACGCGGCTTGGATCCGGGCAAAGGCCTCACCTCTGGAAACAACAGACTTGCCCTTGGTATGGCCGCATCCTATGCAACTGTTAATTTATTCAGCCCTTCGGTCCCGGTATACACCGCACTTACGCTTCGGCCACGTCTGATCCTCAATCATGATGCCAGCAGCACCAGCCTCCGCAAACGACTCCACTGTGCGCTTGACATTCATAGGGCTTCCATAACCAGTATCTCCATCCGCCATGACCGGGACTGTCGTCTGTCGCACCGTTTCTTGGATCTTGTCGCACATCTCCGCCATGGCGATATAACCGGTATCAGGCAAGCCGTACGCACTGGCGACCGGGTAGCCGGCGAGGAACACCATCGGGAAGCCAGCTTCCTCGACCAGGCGAGAAGAAAGTCCATCATACGAACAGCAGTGTGCCAGGATCTTGGTCGGGTCGTTGTGTGCTTCGAGCATCATTGTTCGGAGGCGTGAGGCCTGCAAGGAGGGAACCTTTCCGCGCACATTTTTGAGTTCCAAGGCAACGTTTTCTATGTGGCCTTTTGCGCCGGGCTTGGTTGCGACGGGGACGTCGAAACGGAAAGGATACTGAGTGGTGTTGACAATGGACTTGGACATGTTGGCAATTGATCGAAAAACTGAACTGAGCAAGACAGGATTGGACTTTTACCTATTAACGCGTGTACCAGAGAGATACTTGTAGAAAGTATACTTGCGCGTGTGCGGATAGGATCGTGTGTAGTCTTCCGTTGCCTAAATGAGGAGTCCGGATATTTCAGGGCTGGCCCGGACGTCGCTCGGATACTCCAGGAAATTTCAATGCAGCAACTGTAACGATCGCTTCTCGACATCTCATCAGTGTCAACATTCTCGATAGGATCTGCAGTATTGCGCATTTTCCCATACATTCCCGCGGAATATCGTACTCCATGCTGCTACAATGAAGGTGACAGATATCTTCCCCCCCCCCCCCCCCCCCCCCCCCCCCTACACTACCCCACACTTCATGCCCTGCCTCTCTAACTATTCAATTTCATAGCTCATGTATTTTGTATCGTATGTTACTCTATTACCTAAGAGTAAAACTCTTTCTTCTGGAATGTACAAAATTCTATATTCATTGCTCCATCTAGTATACATGTGTCACTGTCATTTTATGATTGCTATATATTATTGTAGCTATACCCCGAAATTTTTGCCTAGAGCAGACCTTCCTATGATTTCAAAGTGTCTAAGCAAAGTCTTATTGTATTATTAGGCTTATTAAAGTTACGCAAAGAGAGTATTTACATAGAAGCAGTTAGTGCTGTGGGGCGAAGGTATGAAATCAAGGGCGCGGGGTGTAAGTTTTCCATCACCCTGCTACATGAGCGATCCATGGAGTCTCATGCACCCCGCAAATCCGTTTCACTACAGCCTGATGCACCTGCAGGCTACACCTGTGGACAGAAGCGGAGGCGGACCGCAGCTTTCCGGAAAGAAAGCCAGTTAAATTCTGGAATCCCTTCCGCTTCTTCTTCCCCACAAAGCATCGTACGATAGATGCTTATGCCCCACTAAGCCCTTGTATCCCCGCTTCATTATTGCACCTACTAGTGTAGTTGCAATGTCAGACATTGAGAATAAATCGCTTGAAGATGTTAGCAAGCTGGACTTGCGAACCGTCGAGGTCTCAGATGCAGAACAGAGATGGATTCGAAGACAGGTGAGTTGCGATGCAGTCCCTACCAACATCACATTTGCCCTTCAACAACTGACTATCTTCTTAGTTTGACTTTCGGGTTCTTCCAATTGTCTGTATACTTTATACTCTCTCGTACCTCGACCGCGGCAACATCGGCAATGTAAAGACAGCGGGTGCGGACACCGACCTTGGACTAAGCAGCTCGCAATGGGCCTGGGTCCTCAATGCATTCTATATCGTCTATGTTCTTTGTGAATGGACACAGTTGCTTTGGAAAACACTGCCAGCTCACATATTCGTTACATGCCTGAGCGCGCTGTAAGTGCAAAACTTGGAAGTGGGGTCTGCCAGCGCTGATAATTTTGTTAAGCTGGGGCGCGGCAGCGATGTGTTCCGGCGCCGTAGACAGCATGGCTGGCTTGATCGCATGCCGTTGCTTCTTGGGCATGTTCGAAGCCGCCTTTGGAGCTGGTGCGCCATATTACCTATCTTTCTTCTACCAAAGAAGAGAGTTGGGAATGCGTGTATCGCTTCTACTCGCTATGTCTCCGCTCGCCAACTGCTTCGCCTCAGCACTGGCATATGGCATCATGCACATCAATGCATCAATTGCCTCGTGGAGACTTCTCTTCATCATAGGTACGTCGTTTGCTGCCTTATGAAGCAATAATATTGCTAACAAAGGGAACAGAGGGAGCACCAAACATTCTGTTTGCTCCAGTCGTCTTCTTCTTTCTCCCAGATGCTCCAGACAAGGCGAAGTTCCTTTCAGAGGCAGAACAAACCCACGCCCTTGAGCGCTTGCATACAATCGACAGAACTGAGAAGTCAAAGCTGCAGTGGTCACAGATCTTCGCCGGCCTCACTGACTACCAGTCTTACGTACACACACTCATCCACTTCTGCTGCAATTACTCCTTTGCTGCACTTTCCAATTTCTTACCCACGCTTGTTAAAGACATGGGATACTCTTCAGTAGATTCTCAGGGCCTTACTGCACCAGCTTATCTGACTTCATTCCTTTTGTGTCTTGTTGCCGCCTACGTATCCGACAAATATGAAAAGAGAGGTTACGTTGTGGCTGGATCCGCAACAGTTGGCTTCATCGGCTACCTTCTACTCGTCTTGATTCGCGACGAGGACAAAACAGGCCCGAGATACGCCGGTATCTTTCTGGCATCATGTGGCGTCTTCCCTGCATTATGCATCAACATGACTTGGTTACTCAACAACCAGGGCAGCGATTCGAAACGAGGAGCCGGCCTTGCTGTTTTGGCTGTTCTCGGTCAGTGTTCATCGTTTTTGAGCAGTACAATGTTTCCTGAAAGCGACGGGTAAGTTTTGTCCAATCACGAGGCTCTTGAATAAGACTGATTAAGTTGTAGGCCATTCTATTTCAACGGCTGTGTCCTTGGCTGTGCTTTCACGGCTCTAATCGTTGTGCTTGCGGGAGGCTTGCATTTCAAGCTGGAATATGAGAATAGGAAGAGGGACAGGCTGTATGGCAAGGTTGAGAAAGATGTCTGCGTTGATGTAACGCAGGCTGGCGACAAAAGCCACCAATTCCGATATGTAACGTAGAACTGCAGTGGCTTTCACGACTAATACTTACATATGTTTTCTGGTTTCGTCTAACGACATCAAAACAACTTGAGTTTCCTCATTTTTTTCTTCACTGTTCATGATAAACTCTTTAACTCCAAAACCTACTGCGTCAAATCTCTTCCCAAAAGTCAAAAGTAACGGTATAAAATAGTGTCAGCGGTGGGAATAGTAATTGTTAAATTGAGAAATGATTTCCGTCTAATAGTAAAGACATTACCAGTGCCATGAGTGTCTGGGATCCTATTTGGTTTTTTAGTAAGTATCATGAGTGATTCAATATTTGAATCAGCGTTTAGTTACATCGGCTCTACCATTACATAAGGCACGTGCATAGTGATTCACCACTGATGACGTGGCAGGCATTGAGTGAGTCAGGCTCTACAAAAACTTTTCAATCATCTTACGTCTCTTTCAAAAATCATGGCTGAAACATACCAGTATCCCTCCCTCGGCAACCAAGCTTTCAGGGTTCTTCAGCTCCTGCCATCGAAAAATTACGAGGCTGATCTTTGCTGCGAGTTGACTGGTGCTCAATACGACAAATTTCCAAAATATGAAGCCCTCTCATATGCCTGGGATGCCCAAGTGCCGGAGTATCCTATCTATTGCGAAGACAAACGCTTGCTTATCACGAAGAACTGTGATGCCGCATTACGGTGTCTGCGAAAAAGCTATACACGCCGCTTGCTTTGGGTAGACTCTATCTGCATCAACCAAAACGACATCGCGGAGCGCAATTGCCAAGTACCACAAATGTCGACCATCTACCAATGCGCACAGGAAGTAGCGGTATGGCTTGGAGAGAGCGATGAATGCTCAGACATGGCTTTTGATTTCATCAAGCAACTCTCTTGGTTCAACTCGTGTTACTGGCTTCCGTTTTCGATCAGACAAACCATGTCACAACGAACCATAGAGCGGGCTAAGGAGGAAGATGAAAAGAGAAGTACGTCTCTAAGACACCCTAAAATACTCACAAGTATCGTAACTAATTCTCAAAAAGCGAAAGTGAGAGATCCTTATGGAAAGCTGCAATTTTTGTCGAACTTTCTTGATCGTTCCTGGTTTAAACGTCTATGGACAATCCAAGAAGCCGCACTTGCACGAAAAGGCGCTGTTTATTGCGGGAAGAAAAGGCTGCCCTGGGATCATGTATATCATGCAGTAGCCTGGACGCGAAAAAACGATAGGTACACCGATCCAGGTGCCCTTGTACATTTGTACGGCCATACCGAGCCCTACCATTTTATACAGAACCGACATCCAAAGGCTGGCAGTGATGTCACTGATCTTCTCTTCCGGTCCTATAACAAGCTGTGCTCCGATCCGAAAGACAAAGTTTATGGACTCATCGGTATAATTCAGAAACTCGGAAGAAGAACACTCAGGGTTGACTATAACAAACCCGTGGAACAAATTTATCGAGAAGCTGTCGAAATGATGATTAGAAATGATCACCACCTAGGTGCACTTCTATACGTTGGACCACTACAACCGATCGGACAGCCCTCCTGGGTCTCGTTTGGATACGACCAGGTATACTTTGGCGGTTACCACTTCTTCAGCAAGGCAAAGTGTTCCGATTCAGAGCAACAATTCTCTGGGGACGGCCGGATGATGATCGTTAAGGGCAAGGCGGTCGACAAAGTCAAAACCGTCATTGAACAGTTGCCTGTCTCTTCTTCAGCTTTTGCAATCTCATCAGGACCTACACCCGAGGACGTGTTAAGGTTTCTGTTTGCAATCTCCAGACAAATTTGGCCATTGGTACGGGCAGTTCTTTCTCTCGGCTCTCCTAATTGGATGGAGGATACATTGAGTGATCTCCTTTTCCATATGGTCGTCCGAAATGTACCAAGTGAGATTGAACACCTTAGAATGGTTTGCAAAGCTTTGGCTTTAGACGCTGGCGCTAGAAAAGTCTGGGATGAAATGATGCCCGATGGGGCTTTTAAGTGTCTGACCACGACAACCGCCATCAACGAAACAGAAGAGATGGTCAGGCACATGCTGGGAGACACGACACTTAGCATGCCACAGATAGCGCGCCTACTAACATATATGGCGTTTCGGCTTGAAGGTTTCATGATTATCGTTACGGAGAATGGCCATATAGGTTCATTTCGAATCACTACTCCACCGATACCTGGAGATATCGTGGCACATATTCATGGTCTCAAGTGTCCGTTGATACTCCGAAGTGATGAGAAGTATTATCGTCGGATTGGACCAGCATTCATTCATGGAATTATGCCGGCGAAGGGGTTTTCTGCTTCGAGTAATAGATACAGCTTAGACGATTTCACGTTGGTATAAACAAGGCCCCCACTACCGCCTGCCTAATTAGGTAAAGCGCTCAGTAGAAAGTTAACTTCGCAACGTATCTCGCAACAACACCACGCGCCCGCGTACCCACCCACAACTATAGCCTATAACTATAATTATACTAGCAGCTCTACTAGCGAAGAAACCTTACCGTAATACTACTAGTACCCGTAGAGGAGGGCGCGGGAGCGCTTACGCGCGCGAAAAAGCGACGTTTATAATATATAATAATTTAAATAACTACGGGCTCCCCGCTTGCCGCGCTATAATAGTAAGGTTAGAGATATAGAATTTTTTAGCTAGTTTTAGCGTAAAATAAGGGGTACTAGTTACTATTCCCCGCTAGCGCGTCCTCGCGCGGTGTCGCGCGAGCGGGTTACACCAAAGGCAACTTTCTACTAGGTCCTTGTTCTTACCCGATCAGGTAAGCGGTGGTGGAGGGGTGTATATGCAGTCGAAATGGTGGTGTACAAATATCCGGGGCCATAAACAAGGGGGAACTCAGCATACTTTCAGGGCGTTTTGGCATGGAAAACCTGCTTCTGCCTGCAGTCAACGAAAAACAATGAGACTTAATCTGTATGCCATCCTTCTTGTACTAAATTGGATATATGAGGCACGATTCTATGTTTTTGGAGAGTCACTGTTGAATACGTACCAGTGTGGCCAATGCGCCGTGCCTTGGTAATGCTTTAACATCTCTGCCTTCAGCTCTGAATCGCTCTTTTCTGCAAACCTGGCCGGCGTTATACAGATGTACTGCACGTGCTTTATTTTCTGGCCCTGGGGGTGGCATGCCTAATGCATCGTCCGGCTGACCACAAAACCAGGTTTTTAGGATCAAGATTCGTCTTGATCAGCTCATAACCGCGCTCTTAGAACCACTTGACGACTTCTTCAGTGGAAATGAACAAATATTGGATTTTCTATGCCTCGGGAGGATTTTCTTCGTGTCTGCGTGTGGCGTGTCTCGCGAAAGAAAGTGTCGAAAAGATTAGATGAACCTTTCATCGTAATGATTCCCTTAGTTTTGTACGTTTTTATCGCATAAATAATATTCACAATCTATAAGCAAGAAACAATGAAAGTCTAACTCACTGCTTTTTATCTCTTAGGAAGCCTACTGGTTTTTTTTTTTTTTTTTTTTTTACTTAGGTATGATATGCGGTGATAGCTACGTAGCCGGCGGGCAAAGTGCCGGGTTGCTCAATCCCCATTGGTATTAGCGGATGCACGAAAGCAAAAGCAAAGAAAGTTATTATAAATTCCAGCTGGATAAAAAAGTTTGAGTCATTTAAACCATTTTCCTACAGTAATTCGCGGCTGAGGACCTAACTGCTTATCAATCAGCCTACAAGGCTGACGAGTCACTATGAAGTTGATTGGTTTAATTCTTCTAACCCATGATGGCTGACAAGAAGCAGGCTACGCTCTGTCACACAAAACGGGTTTGCTGACCTGGAAAAAATCCCCGGTCCCAGCCGAGGCAGCTTCCTCGTAGCAATTCTTTTTTGCAAACTGAAATCTGTCATCAACTTCATTCATCAATGCATCTACATTTCCTCTCAACATGCGTCCTTCAGTCTCAGAAGACTTATGCGACTGTTTTTCTCCGTCTATTCTTGTATACCTTCGAGAAGCAATGTGCGAAAGCTGTGGGAAGCCGCTGACCGACTTCGATGCTGTCAACCGCATTGTGGTCAACAGAACGTCAGAACAAATTTGTCCAAAACCTTTGTCGAGTTCGATTGGGGACAAAGACATATATCGATACCACCAACTAGAGGAAGACCAGATTCGCCTTATAGCACTGCACCCTGCCGAGTTTCATGCAGAATTACACTGCACCATTGTACGAGTTTCTCTAAACAACTTACCTCCATTTGAAGCCGTGTCGTATACATGGGCAAACCAGTCTGGCGACAGTACTTCGCAAGGTCATGTGTTGTTAGGTCGGGCGAGAAAATCACTGCCAGTTACCGTTAATTGCGAGGCTGTTCTCCGGCGGCTGCGTCTTCCCAACATGAATCGCTTGCTTTGGATTGATGCTATTTGCATCAATCAAACTTCGAAGTTCACACAGGAGCGAAACCATCAAGTTGCCTTGATGTCCAGGATATACCGAGAAGCACACACTGTCCTTGTTTATCTCGGCGAAAGCACTCAGTCCAGCAACAGGTTATTTGAATACCTAGCCATGGACGAAAAACAAATGAGGGGTTTGCGAAGTCTAAGGAATGATACAATGCCGTCCGGCATATGCAACGACCTAAGTCTTTTACTACGTCGGCCATGGTTCAGCCGAATTTGGGTTCTCCAGGAAGCTGCTGTCGCCCGTCGTTGCAACTTCATCTGTGGGACGGTATTTTTGGACTACAATCACCTTTTCCTCGCAGTTTCTTGGCTACTCAAGTCTTCCCCCGGATCTTCCAAGCCTTGCATATTCGACCTCCGCAATGAACACACGATCAACGAAACCCTCTGGGACGTTTTGCAAAGCTCTCAATCCTGTCTATGCTCGGAGCCTCAGGATAGAATTTATGCACTGCGAGGCATTGTCAGAGATATTCGTTCCGATGAACTCCTGCCTGACTATACGAAATCAGCGGAAGAGGTTTTTGTTGACGTCGCAAAACACCTCGTACGGACATATCGATCACCGAACGTCTTGTTTCTGCGGACCCATCGCCTTCGTACACCATTTCCTTCATGGGTACCGGACTTTGCTTGCGACTCAGCATTACAAGACAAAATAGAGGTTGACCCATCGAGGATTGCAGATGTAACGGGAGTATACAAGGCGCCGGTCCAAGCGTGCATGGCTTCAGTAGTAGAACTTTCGCCGAGTACCCGTGTCGCACTACAGCTTTCCGCAATAAGTAGGGGTTTTATTCGAGATTTTGAAACTCCAAGATTTCACTCGTACTACGAAATTGCGACAAATCCTCCTGAAAACTGCTACGAGACAAGCAGCAGCTGTAAAGACGACGCTGTAACCAAATCGATATTCGGGGTGCTCAAACTTGCGGAGAAAGACAACCATTACGAAGTGGACAAGAAAGTCAGAGACCTATTCGATACTCTTCCCACAAACTTCCGTGCCTATGGCCGTTTAAACTTCGCTTTGTCGGCAAAATACTCCAATTTCAACCAGTCACGTGATCGCAATTTCGAATTGTTGATTCTCTTGAATAGACTGAGAGCTTATTTCATGTCTTTTCACTATTCCGAGACGTTGTATAGGGGGCTTAAAAGTTTTCTGGGTACTGAAATGGAGGATCAACAATATGGCTTGGATTTGCAAACGTACCTTTACCGTATATCTAGGCTGGAACGTTCACTTACGCCGTACTTCTTGGACGAATCAAACTTGAAAGGCCATCAAACGTCTACATCTCACGACTGCCATGCTACCATGAGGGTCTGGGCTGCAGAAGTGCGGAGTATTCTAGCCTTTTTGGAGACGGAGCCTTGCAGTCTGTTGTCACCAATAGAAGACAACGCCCTGCAAAAACTGCTAGGACGGTTTCTGGATAATCTCTTATTCAAGTCAACAAGACCGGTCACCCTTAGGGATATAAGTCTCATTTGGCGGTCAATGAAGGTTATAACGCAGAACGCGGTTCAAAAACTGGATCTATTGGCAAGAAAATCTTTGAAAGGTACCGGCACCGGAGCATACCAGCGAAGTACAGAGGTGACTCTGTGTTTATTCGAGAATGGCTAGACTGACTATCTTAGAGACAAGCTTCATTCGGAACACCTTCCCGAAAAAGCTGAAAGTAGATATTTTCCGCAAGATTTGAGAGACGCCATCCAGTGCAGTAATTGCTTAAAAGCTGAAGTGACTTTCAGTGAACGGCTGCAATCACGCAATGCTGACCAGCATGTGTTCCTTACTGAGACGTCCATTGGAATTGGTCCAGCAAACTGTCAGCTTGGCGATGCCGTGTTCTCTGTTCTAGGAGCAAGTTACCTTGTCCTCATGCGTCCATATGAGGATGGGTTCAAGTTTGTTGGTCAGTGCTACCTCCTCGATGACCCTGAGCCACTAAGGTTTTCCGAACGCAACTTTCAATGGACGGGCTCGGAATGGAAAGTTGAGTTTAAAGCGGAGGTGGGAGACTATTTGCATAAAACAGAGATGCAAAAGTTTGCACCCATCCTCGTGTACTGATTTCTTGCGTGTATATTTGCAATGAATCTCTCTGTATCTCTCTTCTTGTTCGATCCTATTCTGTTTTCATTTCACTGTAATTTTCACCATTCTATCAAATTGTAATTGATGATTGTTGTGCCTCAGAAACATGATTTACGCACAAGCATATCACAAAATATTTGCTTATCTTTCCACCACTAAACCATCGCATCTTTCATAGAGAGTTTTTTTAATGGTTTAGTCTTGTTGCACCGTGGTGTTAACGTGTTTTAGGAAAGGAAAATTGATTTTTTAGACTTAGAAAAAATTATGGGAGCACAACATCCCCATAGCTGTTCATTACCCTAGGCTTTGAAACGTTCATTCCTTAATTACTTTGCTGCAGCCGACAACTAAAAAGATCTTTTTGCTGCAGTCTCCAAGAGCTTTCATATTTGTCTGTCCTATGTTGACAGGTTCTGGCAGTGGCTTATACCTGACTTGTTCCTTCCATACACAAGCTACTCACCTCTAGTCATTATTATGTAGTGCTCAATCTCTACCTACGCGATTACATTCTACTGAAGACGATAGGACATCGGTGGTGGCAATGACTCGGTTAGAGTTGCAGCGGCCGTAATACCGCCGTAGTCCCACACAGACCTTTAGACCACCAAAAAGAATGAATTTCTGTGCACGACTGTTCAGACACTGCTCGAGCGCAAAAAGAGATGTTGACAAGGACGAGACTCGAACTCGCGCGGGTTGCCCCACCAGGAATTAGCGTTAAGATGACCTTAACCTGGCGCCATAACCAACTCGGCCACCTTGCCTATTACTGAGAAATGTTTGTGCCGCAGTATTACATCACAAGAACCCAGCTACCGTGAGCCCTGGCTTTGGGCATTGGTCGTGTCTCTGACAGCTTGGGAGATAGCTGGCAAAGGTCGAACGCTACCTGTTTAACTGCAAGGGCAGAGGATACACCGCTGCACGCCCAAAATAGTAATCACACTTCCTCAACTTCCGCCAAACCACGTCCCAATTCTGCTTCAAACACCCATATTCCCTAGCCTCCAAGTCAGCAGGGCTAGGAGCCGAAGGATCCAATCACGCATAAAACGTCGTAAATAAAGCAGTGATAGCGACCTTAACAACGCCTTGGGACTGCTCGCCATGATGAATCGACGTGCTCTTCTGCTCGTCGAAATCCGGGTCTGCAGCGCATAGCCATCCGCTTTGGAAGTGGTGTGTTTTTGAGCACTGAGGCAGTGGCATCTGCATCGGCGTAGAAGAAAACGTCTTGTCGAAAGCCGGACTTAATGTGCGGAAGTCCGTCCTTGCTTCCACGGGCGTTGTCACGCATCTTGCGGAAGTGTGCGCGAAGTTGCGGGAGCGAAGCATCCTGTAGGGTCTCATCTTCGACGTATCGAATAGACTAAGAGCGGCGGATGCGGGCTGAAAAATCAACTACTAAAAGGGAGGTTTCAATAGCATCGGTGAGAATTCTTCTATAGCGGTTCCAGGATTTATCATCACCAAATAAAGAGGTGCGGGAGACAACAAAGCACCATGCTGGCCTTTCTTATGTCTCGAACACCCACTGGATTTTTTGCGTGTAGCGTATGTTTTGTCGGTCAACACCGTTCAGGTGTAGATTTGTATTTTCCTGTTGCTGGGCTACCTCTCTGGCCCTAATATGTGTGTTTTCGTAAGCTGTCTTTTCATATTCTGTTCTTGCAATCTTTTCTGCTTGACACCTGTTGTATCTTAGTTAGTATTATCAATGAAGGTTTATAGAAACTCTAGGTACACACTTTCTTTGGCACTGGTCAGTGGTCATCTGTTTGGTGTATCCTCCACGCTAGAAAACCTTAGTCATCCTTGGGATAAGTATCTTTTCTTCTTGGCGTGTGATTTACACCGTGCGCTGCCAAATAGGCTTCGTCATCCGTGAGGTCACTGGGATCAGAGACAGCTTTTTGGATCAGCTCATCCCAAGAAAGTCCGCAAATCTGATGACATTTCTTGTCTTCCTCGTGAGCAGATAAACGATTGAGAATTCGTCATCGGTCCGAGTCGGTGAGGCTTCCTGGATGATTTATTGCTTTCTCGTAGAGCTTGAGATCACTTGCGAGGGTGGACTTGTTGGCGGCGGTACAGGGAGCCAAGAGACCGGGATCCCACATCGCGTTATCTTGCTCAAGTGAAGGCAGATTTAGGGCAGGCGAGAAAGGGAGATCAGAAATTGTCGGGAGATGGAATTGATGACGAACAAGGGGAGTTGAACTAGTGTTAGCGGCCTCGCCACAACCGTATGTATGTACCGGTAGATCGATCCGTGAACTAGCCGAACCGAAGGCGATGAAATCACCGGGTAGCTGGTGCGAAAAGGACGTTGTGCACTTGGAGGCTGACGACAATCTCGTAATTACAAAGAAAGTGGTTGCACCATTGATATCTTACGTTACCGTGTGAGCTTCTTGAGCCCAAGATGACCGTTCTTTACACAGTGCTCCTGATATCCCGAGAACCAACAAGTTTAGGGAATACAGTGAATGTTGTGGAGACTCTTCTATCGTTTAAACAAGATTATGCAGCACCGACCTTTTAAATCATTGGTGTATCTTTTGCTTTAGAATGTCTCTTCACTGTTTTACTAATCAATTAGCAATAGGTGACGAAGTGGAGAAAACAAAGTCCACTGCCATTTTAATAAAGAAAGCGGAGGGAAAAGTTACCTTGTAGTATTTGACGCCCTTCCCGTTGTAACTTTCCAAAGAAAGTATTTCTTTCTCTCGTTAGTCTACCCACAACTGATGTGGAGAAGAGCTGTTGACCGACTAGCCAGCGGGTATGTTATCTAGAGAAGTTTTCATAAATGACGTCCGCCAATAAATTGGAGTATTCTCGGATAAGGGTAGCAGGAAAACATCTTAGCTGATGTAACTCAAGTATAGCATGTATCGGCTATCACGGTCTCGGCCCAACGATCAACTCTAGGATGCGCTTACATGCATGGCACAACGCCACACGCAACTAGAACTTACGACGATCACGTGTAATGATAAGCTGAGTTTCTGGGCATCCTCGGGGCGTGTTACACTGCCTCTCAATATCTGGCTACTATCGTATTAGTCTGATACCTTGTAACACATCAATCCATTAGTCTGCAAATGAGAAATAACTCACAATATATCTTATTCGTCATGCTAGCTTTTTTCCAATTGTCACTGAAATGAATAGACCATTGCGACGCTAGTAGTTAACTGAAATGTGGCGTTGCTTTTACCGGTACATGTCCAGACTATTGTTTGCTACCTGATGTAGGTTTCCGTAAGACGTTGGCATCCGCATAAGTGCCTGTACATGCATCCTTCCTTGCTGCCGCCTTCCGAAAAGGCGTGTGATCTGCGCTCCGATTAACCCCGCACCCAGGATGGACTGAAAAGCGATAAACCGAGCTGAGCTTTGCTGACAAGCGGAAGTCCATCCAAAAAATATTTTATCTACGCTGACGCGGCCTTTCACCAACTCTTTTTTCTCGAACACGCCTTACAATACTGGTTGCATCGACCATGTTTCGAGCAAACATCTTCACTCTTTTAATGATAGCCGCTTCTACGGCGGCAAGTCTATATCCCAGGGCAAATACAACGTCGGGTCTGAATGGGATGAACGGAACGAATGTGACGCTGCCTGTAGGCCCGGTAACGACTGACGAAACATGTGGAGGTGAAGCGGGCATGATCTGTATAATCAATGGCACTTATCCCTGCTGCAGGCAAGTAAAAGTCCGATGAACACAACAATCTGTACATATGCTGACTTCAGACAGCTCTAACGGGTACTTCTCCACTTTTCCCCCTGTTTATGTCATGGTCAAGCTAACGAAAGCACTGTACAGGCAATGCGGAGGAGATGAAGACTTCTGCGGAGATGGTTGTCAGCCCGAGTTTGGTCTCTGCACACAGCCAAACAAAACACTGGGCAATCCTGCCTGTAGCTGGGCCGATGAAGGTACCAGCCCTCGCTGCGACGGCAGATGCGGCTCAGACTTTCATGGAGCAAGATGCAACAGTGCCGCCAGTCCAAACGAGTTTAGGGTATTTGGTGTCCTCAACTATGGCAAGTGTTGTAGCAGCTCCGGGTAAGTTATCAGTGGATGTGTGGTGGCTTTCAGGCATTCGATACTCATTACTTGCTCCAGATTTTGCGGTAGTACAGATGACCACTGCGAGGTTTCGAAAGGTTGCCAAAATGGATGCAAAGGCGGAGACCCGACACCATCCTCAAGCGCTACTCCTACCACAGACTCCTCCGCGGCTGCAAACAGCACTGTGACTTCGATTGGCTTAGCATCTCAGTTGGTATATAAAGCTCCAGAAGGGGTCTTTGCCTTGGCTCTCGGGGTCGTTGGGGTTATAATTGGCCTCTAATCTGTAACATTGTAAGAGGGTTTTTACTCAGGGTTTCTTTCAAGACTAATTACCGCTTTCTATCTTTTCTAATTTACAACTACTCTGAAGACATGAGCCAATGCAGGCAGAACATGGTTGTCTTTATTACCTTCCAATTTTATCCTTCTCTGCTGATATAGCGGCATCGACGTTGTCAGGTACGGTGGCATGAACCGTGGACGTTGGCGATCCTTCCATCTCGAAGAGCTCTTGCCCGGAACTCATCTCCACTGGCGGCTTAATTGGCTTTGACATCAATTCGGGCGTCAATTCTTGACCTTGTAATTCCTGCGCGTTCCGGCCAGAGTCAAGCTCCATGATTTCTTCTGTCCGCGACTTCGCGTTCCTCCTGCGTAACAGCCAGAACAATAATATTGCGGCGAGCACAACACCAGCTGCAACCCCTACCGCTATCCCAGCTATGCTGCCGCTTGATAACCCTGAGCCTTCAGTGCTCTTGCCCGAGTTTGATGCATTTGTATTCGTCGCTGAAGTTGTTGCGGTGGCTGCTGAAGGTATAGCAGTATTCCTTGTGGCGGTGCTTGCCACGCTGTCGATTGTTTTAAACGCATTCCAGTCTCTGCTTATGGCAAAGATGCCCGAATCATCTTGACAGCAGGTGGCGCTGTCATCATCTTTGCCATTGTCGCAGCAAACATTGGAGTTGCTGTCGCATTGTACGATACCCGATCCATAATTGGGCGACTGGGCTATACCTTGTCAGATTTATACAAAAAGCATGAAGAACAGTCTCATGCAGTTCAAAGCCCTCGGGGACGGCTGGCTGCCTGCTCACCTTGACAAAATTTAGGACACTCGTCCGACTGCCACGTCTTGTCCGTACAAGTTCCTCGGTTGTATTTGTACTTTGTCACATTGACACTTTCGCAAATCTTGTTATCCAAGCATTTGACACCTTGGGTGCAGCAAAAGCTTTGGCTCGAGTTGAGGTAACAGGCGTAGTCATTTGTCGCAATCTTCCCGTTGGGATAGTAGCAGCGAGGAACGTCTTGCGCGGCGACAAGGCTGCAAAAATAGAGAGTGAAGACGAATGGGACAGGCCTTTGCATGGTTACTATGGTCTGTCGTAAAGAAAAAAGGCACAGGCTGCACCGTAGCGAGCAGGCTGAAAGGCTGATCAATCCCTAGGGGTGGGAGCGGAAGTGGGGTGTAATCGGACATTCTGGGGGCTGCTGTCTGATCTTGCTTCTGCGCGCACTTGACCGGCCTCAAAAGCTGAGTAGAAGTGTCGCACAAGCTGACCGGCCTAGTCTGACGGAAGAAACAGTCACAGTCGTACATGTGGCCTTGGCAATATGCAGTGAGATTATAGCGTCCAGTGAAGTTGCAGGTTCATTCGTCATGGCCCCCACCCTAGAATTAAGTACAGGGAAGCAACGTACAAAATCGATCATGCGGTACCAGACCCTTGATCTGTCACAAGTAGCTGTGAAAATTTACGATATGTTCTACTCAGGCTCTAGCTGGAGCCATTTGAAGTATCGCCTTATATTTTCGAGCCCGATGAATATATTTTTCAGCTCAGCCCCGCTACCGCCAATAAAGCTGATTAGTCACTTTACATGTGATAGTTTAAGCAGTCATACACAATACGTGAAATGCGTGATCCGCCTATCATTGGATACAAGATATATAGCTTTGGTAGTTAAGTTCGCTTTTACTTATCTCCGTGTTTATTAAAAAGCAGTTATCTAGTAATAAAGGTACGGTCGCCAAATATATAATCACCAACTTGGTATTAACGTCTAGTACCTATAAACGAATGTCACCGTTCAGCGACCCCACAAATTAGAATGTAGAAAGGACCCACACAGCAAGTTTTGAACGGTGAGGTTCGTTTCCGGTAGGTTACAATAACGTCCGTTACCGCGAACCGAGATCCACCGTCTAGCGAGAGGGGACAATACAGGCAGTCCCTACAGAGTGCTCCTTGTCTAGCTCATAGCCCGAGTCCTGGGTATGGATGTAAAGGTCTTAGAGCACACACATACAGACTCTATACATCGTAGCTGGGTCTCTTCTCCTCCGTACAAGTATCACCGTCTCGCTTCATAGTGAATCTCGTTTCAGGGTGAGAGACGTTATAAGTAATAGTAAATTTAGTATCTCTTCTTTTCATCAACTACCCTATAGAAATGAGTTCTTATAGTCTTATGTTTTTTATTTATTTCTCTCATCTTCCGGGGCTTTCTTGCGAAAACTGACATGTAACGTCGCTCACCCATGTCCAAATTTCCCGGTTCACCAAATCCAACCAATCAGAGCGTGTCGCGTGGACCCTGATCGTGTACTAATCATTAGCCAGATCATCTGAAATGTGAAAATCTATATAGGTGAACGAACAACAGACAACACATGTATCGCGGTTCGATTTTGTTGTACCTAAAAGGCCCTTCTTCGGAGGGAGGAGTGGAGCGACAGGGCGCACAAAACACCTCAGCCCTCCCACGAAGCTGCGAATATACATTACCACAAACCAGTATCTCATCTTCTCTTTACATCATGGAAATTGCCAGTGGTGCCATTGGCATCTTCAACTTTGCAATCGACTGTATCGGCCGTATCCAGCTCGCACGCGATTTTGAAGACGACTTTGCAACGTATCAGTTGAAGCTCGATCTCCTCCAGATCCGCCTTTCCCGCTGGGGTGAGGTTGCTGGAATAAACAATAATCAGATCAGTAGACCGGCACCCCAGCCCTCGAGCAACAAGGCAAATGGAGATGACAGCAAAGGCACCGATGCAAGCCCAGCAAAGAAGGCAGAAGAAATCATCGGCTGTATCGAAGATGTTGTCTACAGGGCTCAGCGCGATGCCAAAAAGACAAAAGCCAAGCTTGCTGCATGCAGCGATCAGACACTGGACCCCGAATCATATGTACCGAATGATCTCAAGAAGATCCGCGCAAAGCTGCGAGAGTGCCTCCGCAGACGTAGAGCCCAGGTGATGAAGACCGCCAGTAGCATCAAGTGGGCCTTCTACGATAAAAATCACCTCGAGAAGTTTATAAACAACATCTCCGCACTCGTAACCGAACTCGAGAATCTCTTTCCAGAAGAAGTGCAGCAGAAACTTCGCGAGCTCAGCAAAGAAGAGTGTAAGGGAATTAGCAGATCCAATTTGGAGGAGCTGAAGGAGATCGTCCACGAGTGCGATCCCTGGCTGGATGGTGCTGTGGATGAGGAACTCAAACATGCGCTTGGCGGGGGTACTTACATCACCCAGTCGCACAATACCGGCATGGTTACGGGAATGCACTACGGAGACATCAATGGCGTCAGTAATGGGAACGGCAATAAGACTAAGAACTACTGGGGTAGACGTTGACCTGTTTGTGTAGAAACAATTTGGTCGTGGAACTGGCAGATTGGCTTTGGTTGTTTTTGTGTGGGGCTATCTCAAGGTGGATGGGCTCAATGAGATTTGGGGGCCGTTAAAAATTTTCAGCTGTACCACGTGTTCGTCTACTATTACCGTTCTCGACCAGGTTGACGCTGTTGCCTGCCGATCCTTGCAAAGTTTGTAGACTCGCTCAGCTCACAGCCGAGTTGGCAAACACATGAGAGATAATGCAGTGTTGCAAGGCGACAAATCATGTCTGCAGTGAAAGAAATCGTATTTTCGATAGGAGCTGCTAAACACCCGCGGTAAAAGTCATTATACTATTTTAATACATCCTCTAAAAAAGGCCAAATAGGGTAAATAAGGGGTTTATTCTATAAAAACTAAATTTAGAACAAATTCATATTTTCTTAATGGTAAATGTTAGTTTAATAGCCTAGATATTTTATATCTTATTGAAGAGCTTGTATTAAAGTTAATATAGCATAGATAGATATATTAGGAATTTAGAAAGAGATATAAGTTATAGAATATACTATATATAAAGAAATACTTATAAACCTATATAAAGAGGTTGTCAGCCAGGATCACTCCGATAACTCTCGTTTTTTCAGCCTTATTACAGTCAGTTGTTACACTACAGCCTTACCCCTTACACCACACGTTTATCCACTGCAAGGGAATAAGGATTTTAAAGAGAAAACGTGTTCTTTTAGATAGCAGCATATATACCTCCATAGGTAGAAGTAATTTAGGAGGACAAGCGGCGTCCAATTCCTCGCGCCCAGCTTCACAGAGGTCTAGTCTAATAGATAGTAATTATTATATATTATATAGAGGATACTTTAAAGTAATATTAGACTCGTATATTTATACACGTCTCTATATAGTATAACTACGTATTGCGTAGTATTATATCGCTCTTAACTGTAAGATCTCCCCGGTAGTCCCACAAGCTACCCTGTTTCATGCTAATACGAACAAAGAAGGCTAAAAATTTGAAAGAGCGGGGTACCGATAGTTTCCCCGCTGACAAAAGTTAGCTACCGGTGAGATATTATGGAACCGCTTGACGTTGTTTTCATTTCGTTTTCCTTCCTTAAAGAGGCAGTTGTTGCCAATGTGAGGACCCGCCTGTGGATCTCTATCCTATTTTGAAGAGCACTGCAGAAATATCCGCTTCACCCCCGGCACAAGTCGGGATTCGTAATCCTATTGATCGCTGCACTCAACTAGCAATACGAGACTCCTTTTATAAGACCGTTACCCGTGAGTTAAGCTTCCTCGACTGCTCATTCTTCCATCCGTCGTTTGTGCTTCTGATCAGAGTCGCGATCGCAGGAATCTGTTGTCAACGCCACGATGCCTAGAAACCATGGTGACGTGTCGTTCACTCAAAGCGACGTCACTGGCACCGCTACTGGCATCATATACGGTGATGTCAATTACATCCGTGAGTCCGGATCATTTCCTCTACAGATGTTATCATGTCCATCCGCTGAATTATACAGACAATGAGGGAAACGCCGCATTGACTGTCAATGAGACTTCAGAGGAGAGACAAAAAGAATTGGAAGCACGTTGGAAGGAATCCGGAACGTGTGAGTGGTTAAAGGAGACAAAGCAAGAATTCTCAACATGGATCAACATGGAGAATAAATACTGTTTCCTTTGGATTCATGGCCTCCGTAAGTCTCCAAGATGCATATTACAGAGACTGGCGCTGACTTCGGGACAGGGGGTTGTGGAAAAACGACACTGATGTAAGCATATCCCTACGATTCCCCATACGATAAATCTTGAATCCAACTTTATCAAGTACAATTACAAATTATGTGCGAAGACTCACAATCTTTTGTCACAGGTCGCGCGTGATTGCGCATGTCCGTGAACAAAGATGCAATACAGATCCCGAAAATATCCATCTGTTGTTCTTCTACATCGGCTACGGGAATGATTCACAAAAAAAGAACACCTACCGAAACATGCTCATGGCATTCTGGGATCAAGCGGTGAAAGGTCAGTATGCACGAGCATCCGAGGTGTTTGGTAGTCAGTCCGCAGACGATGATATCCAGAACGCGTTGAACGGGTTTCTGGCTAAATCAAAACGCGACGTGTACATTATTGTCGACGCCTTGGACCAGCTTCCATCAACCGAACACCGTAATCTGCTGCGCGGACTCGATTCTATTATCCAAAAACATAGGGACCAGAACAAATTTCACATTGCTGTAGCCATCAGCTCCCGCGACTGCTTTGGTTACGAAAGGCTGGAGAAACACAAACGGCTTCTGATTCAAATAAGGGCTAATGACAACGCCGCCGATATCAGGAAGTACGTGAATATGAAACTGGGCTCTTATATTTTCGACGATAACCCGGAACTCAAAGAGCAAGCCCTGACAGAGTTGATCAACAAGGCAGACGGAATGTTAGTAATAAAATGCTGGCCTATTACCGATAATTACTGATAAGAGTGTTATAAAATTAGGTTCTTGTGGGCGAAACTTCAGACGGCGAACATGTGCGACATTGACTCCGAGGAAGACGTTAAGAACGCTTTAGAGAAGCTTGTGCCGCCTGGAGAGATGGAGACCATGTACGGCGAATATGCCATCAGATTCGAGAAGACCAAGGGAAAACAAACGCCGAATCGAATTGCTTTACGGACGATGGCACTTTTAGCGCACACTGGAGGATCGATGCCAAAAGAGACCATGCTCGTGGCTCTTGCACTGGACATGGAACATGGAAGAACGAATCCAACAACCTACAAGGAAATACGCACGCAGCCGGCTAAAATCATCCGGTGGTGCAAACATCTAATCGACATCAACGAAAACCTCGGAGTAATTCGGTTTTGTCATGGATCAGTTTACGAGTACTTCGAAAAGTATCAACCACATACTGCACACAACAGAATTGCACAACTTTGCCTGGCTCATATCTGCTCGTCAAACTTCTCTACTGGACCGTACAAGGATGCGAATTGGTACAACTATGGTAGTCTTCGCTCCTTATTGAAGGACAATCCATTTTTGGAATTTTCCTCACACAACTGGGCCACCAGTATGAAGAAGAGCGTCCAGCCAGGTACAAAACCAAAGAGATTTCAAAGCAGCCATGCGGAGCTTCTGGGTATCCTCAAGAAGCTTTTTCAAAACAACGAGGCAAAGAACTTGCAGCTTGCATTTCAGGTGTATCTGCTTGCTATTGGCAAATCGATGCCGGGCGGAGTGTGCTTTGAGCACATAATAAGCTACTTCGGCCTCATAGGCTTCTTGGAAGTATTCCAAAACAACGGCTGGCTTGACCTGAAGAAGTCTGATAACGAAGGGTCGACAGCGATACATTGGGCTCTGCGAAGTGATGCCGAAGCCAACAACGGACGTACAGAGACGGAGCTTGTCGTTCGAAAACTCATCAAATATGGGAGCGACATAAACAAACAAGATCACAAAGGTCGTACTCCGCTCTATTATGCCTCTCATGGCGGAAATTTGCCTGCAGTGGGTCTACTTCTCGAACACAATGCTGCACTCAACGTTCAGAGTGAAGATTACGAAACAGCCTTAATCGCCGCCAGCAGAAGAGATCACCATGACATTGTTGAGAAGCTTCTGAAAGCTGGGGCAGATGTTCGGATCCAAGGTTTTCTAGGCACTGCATTGCAAGCGGTGTCTTTGGTGGGATGTACGAGATGTGCTAAAGGTATCCTTGATAAGTACGACACAGAGCCTATTACTGAGAAAAGAGGCCCTTTCGGAACATCACTTCACGTCGCAGCATTCTATGGTCACCTCGAAATCTTAAAGCTCCTCCTAGAGACTGGCAAGTTTGATGTTAGAGCAACAAACAAATCATACGGCAGCGTTCTTACGGCGGCAGCCACTGGATGCAACCTTCTTATGGAGCCACGTCCTTACGAAGGTATTTTTCGGGAGTTGATTTTGCATCGTGTCGATGTAAACGACACCAGTGGAGCTTATGGGCCAGCTGTACGTGCGACGGCGGCGTGTGGTGACAAAAGGCTTATTAAGATCCTTTTAGAGGCCGGCGCAGATATTAGTCGGGCCAAGGGTGGAATGGGCACTGCCTATCAAGCCGCAGTAGAAGGAGGCCATGTAGAGATTCAAAAGCTTCTACTGGACAAAGACCCAAATGCTGCGAGCTACGCCGAACGCGATCCCCCCGATGGAGAGGCTATGCTTTATCGCCTTCGGCAAGAGTTGTTCAGGATTGCTTTAGTAGCGAGCAATATGGCAATTATCAACAACCTGATTGGACAGGTTGAAAAGCTTTTCCATACGGAAATAGCGAAAGGAGAGACCGAACTTCTTAAAAGGCTAGCAAACCTGAGCGAGGAAGTTTTCACCGATGTGGTAAGCATTGCAACAAGAACGAATGCTCGCGCAACAGCAAGAGGGAAATCAAAAGCACCGAAAGAGCAGGATATACCAGAAGAAGGAATACAAGAAGATATGCCGAGGCTGAGCTTACAAGAGAAAGAACCGGAACTGTACAAAATGCAGGATCAAGCCGGAAATCACCCTGCAATGCCCGAAACGGCGCCATGCGGTCTTGTTCCCGAAGGAGCAACTCAAGAGTCTAAACCAAAGCAGGACCTAGCAAGCCAAACGTCTTCAACAGATCCCCTGAGAGACCAGGCATCGCTAGACGTAGTGCAACAGTGTACCCCAACTCTGGAGGTATCTGATGAACATACTCAAAAGGAATTGCCGAAAGAGGAATCACCGAATTGCGAGACTGAGCCCACTGCTGATCAGCCTCAGATGAACATGGAGGAGTGCAACGTTTACAAGGAGCTGTTTCGGAGTTTATTCTCTCGCCTTTGCCGTGCAGATACATCTGCGAATGACGGAGATGCTCCAACAAAGGAAGTATCCGTTGGCCCCAGAGCATCTGTATCCCGTCCCCCGGCAACACAAAGACAGCATATACCCTGGTCGGCCAATGTACAGGATCAGAATCCTCTCTCTTCTACTACTTCCCAGAGAGATATTGCAACCAGTCCGGCTATTCAACATACGGAGCAAAGACAACTTGTTTCAGAGCCTGTATCTCCAAGTGGAGGTACTAGGCCTGAAGAATCAACTGAATCTGGGAACCCCTCATCTTCAGCTAATATTAAAGTTGCAACAGAGCCATTGCAGTCGATGCTTGAGTCTGAGACTGCTATTACCCAAGAGCAGTCTCCACCTAGCCTCAGCAGACGGTCATCAATGATCTCCATCTTGTCAAGGAGATCGACTTATAGCGTCAATATTTTTAATTTACGGAGACAAACGTCCTCATTCGGTCGAGATATTCTCGATGGACGGTTCCCCGAAGTGCTGGATCGACTAACGAGGGCGGCCGTAGACATCTTGGCGTACGCGCTCGACGACGAAAGCAGAAACGATAGCGTGGTTGAGCTGATCGCTGACACGTGGATCGATGCGCTGCAGAACCTGCTCTCCTGCACTGGTTTTGGCGAACCAATGCTGCAGCGGGTGGTGTGGAATCGCACGCTCGAGCTGAAGAAGCACCTGATTGACACGACCCTGACAGAAACCGCAAGATTCGAGAGAGCCCACAGCTTGGCTAAAGTTGGCGTACAACTGTTGATGACAGCAATCAGCCGCAAGGCAAGGTGTAGGCGCTTGTCATTTGTCCTCTCCAATATGTGGGTCTCGGCTGTCAACGGCGTCGAGGCTCTTGGGGCTTCTGGTCAGGAGCCGGTGCAGAGGCTGGTCAAAATCTTCGCGGCAAAATTTACCGACGCGATCAAGACAAATGATTTAGTCCAGGCTGACACAATGGGAGACACCGGCCTGGAAATCTTAAGAGCGGCTGCCTTGAGCGAAACGAAGAGCCTGATGAATAAATTTGTTGAGGAATGGGTGGGGCAATGGCAATTTGCCATCGAAAATGAGAAGGACTGGCTCCCCAAAAATCTGGTCAACCATAGGTTGAAAGAATACCAGAAACACATAAAGAAAGGGGAATACGATGAAGCCCTGGGTCTTGCTATTGGAGGCATAGGGCTTCTCCGAGCCGCCATGGAGCAGAGAAATAAAGACGTGGTCGACGCGTTCCTCCCAATCATCTTATCAGGTTTCAAAGAAACCATAGCAACATTCGACCGTAACGGTTCTATCGCGCATGATACGGTTCAGGCAGAGGAACATTTGCTGCCGGCTGAAGAGAACAAGTTGGAACAGTCTAACGAGTACAGACGACAAACCACATACATGAACATGAACGTCATTGGAAGCGTCTTCGAAGAGATCGTTAGGTTGTTTAACGTTGCTGAGACACAAGACTCTAAGATCGTCAACATCTTGAGCCTGGTGGTCTTGAGAAGGGTTGAGCTCCTTCCGAATAATATTCGAGAGGCGCTGATGGAATTGGTACTCCGACGTGTTGAGCGGGCTCGACATATGGAGTTTCAAAACGAACGGAGATGGATCTCAACCACAGTCCTTTGTCTTCTCAACGTGGTTCAGAGCAGTGTTGATGAATGGCCTAAAGCTGTACGTGCTTTAGAGGATCTGACCCAGAAACTTCCGAGTCTAACTAATAGGCGTGATCTCACTCAGTATACGGAGGCCATCAACTTTATCAAAAGCCAAAGGAGCAGGGTGAAAACGGTGACGGCAGGTAGAAAGTAAGCCTTTCGTATATCTTGTAGTTACGGGTATACATTAGCGCATAACCTACACTTATTCCATTTTGCACTGGCTTACTTCTCAAGATAGAAGCGCGTGAATGTTGACATGTCGTTAAGTTTGCTTTGTCTGCGTATCTTATCTTGCCTTTTTCTTGTAGCTTGCGTGACATTGTGTGTTTTGCAGTTACTTATTGCCTCATGAATCACGCTGTGGGTAAAGGGCAAGTGGCTTATGTTGTTGGCTTCTGTCGTTTGTTCTTTTTCTTTTTCTTTCGTCCAAAAAACAAACACAAAGGAGATTGTATCTAACACTCACTCAATCTGCTTAAATATGAACTCACTACAACGCAATCATAAGCCATTCCACTTCAGTTTTCTTCAATTCGTCGCAAGCAACAGCATCGAGCTCAGTATGCACAGCCTTTCTTTCCCAGGCTTCAAGATTCCGGTTTCGCCACAAAGACACATAGTCTTCATATTTCACCCTGGCGCCGTACACTAGCAGCCTCTGAACAATGAGCAATACCGAATTTGCTCGTGCACATGCGGCTGAAAGCGGAGTTTGCCCGAACTGATTTGTTGCGTTCACCCGAGCCCCGTGTTCGAGGAGGGTTTGCACCAAAGCAGCCGCCTCTTGTGCAGAAGACTGCGAGAGGCAGGCTTCTAAGAGGGCAGTATTTCCGTTTCTGTTTAGGACGTTTATTCTGACACCGTGGTCCAGTAAAAGCTCCAAGATATCTGCTCGTTTGCTGCCGATAGCCAAAAATATTGGAGTGTTTCCTTTGTCGTCTACAACCTCAGCATCTGCCGCAGCTAAGAGTAGATGCTCGACAATATCTCTTTGGCCATTTCCCACTGCAATGAGAAGTGGTGTTCGCCCATCCGCGACCCTTGTTTCAATATTGACAGTAAAAGGTTCGGTCAAGAGGCTCTGTACGACCTTTGCGTTGTTTCCACTTGCCGCATAATGGATTGGTCGCCAGCTCCGTTTCGATGGCATCTCTGGATTTGATCCTGCTCGGAGTAGCCCACGTACGACCCGGTCATGACCGTGTTTTGCAGCTGAGTGGAGTGGCCTCAGTCCATCTGCATCTGCCACATCAACGAAAGCTCCGGCTTCGACTAAAACAGAAACGGCTTTACGGTGTCCATGTATACAAGCCAGATGCAATGCCGTTTGTTGTAGTCTGTCAAACTCATTTACATCGGAACCGGCCTTGACAAGAGCCGTTACAGCGTTGATACGGCCGGCGGCGGCCATGTAGTGAAGCGGAATTGCTCCTTTCGTATCCTTTAGGGAAGGATTTGCACCGGAAGAGATGAGTAGTTCAACCGCATCATCACTGGCAAGATGCAACGGTGTCTTTCCATCCTTATCCTGGGCATTCGGGTCTGCTCCGTGCGAAACAAGCGTCTTGATTATGTCCAAACTCCCCTTCTCCGCCGCATGATGAAGTAGTGTAGGCTCACTGCGACCATATGAACGGTAAAGGATTCTGCCAAAGATGCTCGTGCGTGTTGAAGCTTCGGCTATTTGATGGCGGTAGTTAACGTCAGCTCCATTGCTACACAATGTCTCGGCCAGTGACGACATATCCTGGAGCACAGCTTCTCGAAGCTGCTCGCTCAGCCTACGCTGATCTCCGTACCTTCGTCGTCTTTTATCACTCTTTACGCTCAATAACGACGAGCCTGACGAGCTTCCGGATGTTGTGTCGCTACGAAGTATAGATTGCCTGGGAGCCTCTAACTGAGGCGATTCTGCCTTCGCCGCATCTCTTCGCATAGTCGCCTTGTATATCTTTGACTGGAAAAGCTCCTCCTGGAACTGTGTAGACGGCGACGTAGGACTGATTCTCGAAGAAGGTGAAATAGGACTATTAATAGTAGATGGAAACAAGGGGCTGATCCCATCCTGGAGAGATTGAGGCAAGGTAGTGTACGAATTCTGAGAGTCCTGGAGAAGTTTGCGATGCTCGGTTTGGGACTTTCTAACGAGATGTTAGAACGAAGCTTCACTGACTGACATACAGGGAATGCTTACAACACTGCTATATTCAGCAAAACACCAAGCGCGGAGATCTGACTGTCAAGGCTGCGTTGGTACTGAAGCAATTGTTCCTCGTTCCACATGTGCCTAATTTTCCCTCCAAACCAACCTTCACGCACGCGTTCCACATGGTTGTAGATCTCGCCGACCACAAATTCACATGCTGCCACAGCCATCTGGACATCCGCAGCTACTTGTTCTTGTACTGGTTCTTCTTTTTGTAGCCATGACCCAATTTGCGACACGATGGCCTCGATGGTGTTTAATCGGACGATGATCAGAGTGACTTCCTGCCCGACGCTCCGATATTTTTGCGACAGTTCTTTTAGGGCCAGTGAAGTCTTGACCACAACGGACAGGCTGGTCACAACGATTGTGAGGATCGAAGCCGGCTCCATATTTGCGAAAGAAAATCAAATGGACAATGAACAGAGATAGAATAGGCCAAATGGGAGTGGAACAACTTGCAGTGGTTTGATACGCGCGGCGGGCACACCATTTTGGGCGCTTATTGCAGTAGCTACTGTATTTTTCCGTGGGTGGGGTTGGGGGCTGAGCAGTGGTCCTAATGCAATAGACCCATTTACCCGCGCAGCCTTACCCGAAGAGCCGTGCCTTGTGTAACTCTTGCCTTTTCCAGTGCTAGCGCATATAGGGCCTATGCATATCCGAAATAGCCTTGTGCAGATAATGAAATGCAAGTAACCATGACCAGGGCTCATGAGGCGGTTTTTCAGCTAAGGCCCCCCATCTATGTACATGTATCGAACTAACCCTGAAAGAGAAGGCGCCAGAATGTTTGTACATACCGGATGCATCTCCGCAAATGCCAGTCAAGGGGTGTTTTAAATCTGTCTTATCTATGTTCAGGCAGCAAAATCACGCTAGAACTTCAAATATGTAAGGCAAATACATCCGCGAGCACATGAGCTTATATGTAGTGATCACTTCGGATAAAAATAAAAATGTAGTCTTGTTTATAACTACCGACATGCTAGCACGACTTTATTAGTGATGAGAATGTTCTCAGGTGGCCAAAACTCCCGTCACCTACTACGGTCGGAAATGGAAACAATAAATGCCATCAAGGGCTATATACTTAGCTACGAAGTCGAGCTCTGGGTCTAACAAGAGCCCTAATGCTCGCTGCTGTTACTCCGTGAAGATGCATCGCTCTGCATTTTGTCGGAAGGCTAAGTGGGCAACAATATCATCCATCCACTAATTGTTGGTTCTCAACAAGAATTTTCTCCTTAAACTTAATTACCAGATAATTGAGGACCTAAGATTAATCGAAGTTGCATTCTTGTCTGTTGTGCTAACGTCCGAGTATGAGTATGGTTATTACCTATCATGTGAACAGGTAAATCACTCTAGCACAAGCGAAATGAAATTACTCGTCCAACTAGCCCGTATTTATTTATGCACTAATAAATCACGCTGGCCTATAAACACTCTAACTGACTTCTTCACCCTCTATTAATATCCTCCGTATGAACCGATTTTGATTCTCGGTTCTCAGAGCCATACATGGCAATAATTCCTTGTAGTGTATCATTTTCAGTACTCGATTCATTGGAGTCTGTAGCTGTGAAAAGACTGGTAAAGTTCCGCATAAAAGGCCTCTTAGGTCGGGTTCTCCTAGCTTCCGCAGTTGCCGTTTCTGGCTCCGATGAAGCACGCTTTGCAGAGTGCTGACTGTGGAAAAGGCTGCGGAATGAACCAAGGCAGGCCACGATGAGAGCTGTTAAGATATGTTAGCGATATCAGAAGCCATTTCTATTTTATCAAGAAAATATACCAGCGAAAATCTCGATGTTGCTCCACATGTACAGCCAGCTCATGTCCGGCTGAACAGTCAGTGAGCTGATCACTGCTACACGTACGATAGCAAAGACCATGGTAATAATAGTCACACAGAAGACTGCTGCTAAGCCAGCTTTACGCCTTCCACTGACACGAACTTTCCAGAGCATACTAATAGGAATAGATGTAACTGTATGAACAATGAGCTTAGCCTTCATTCCGGATGCGACGGGGGCTTTACTTACTTGCAAGGTCCGTTGCAACGTCTAAAACACAGTTTGCGATCAGTGTATCGCGTTGGAACTTAATCTCTTTAAGGCCGGAACAGTGATCTGCAATGTTAACCAAGTCATCCACGAGACAATTGTAATCGATGGTTCCCACACAGCATGCCCACGCTGCAATAGTGAATGTCAGAATACCCCACCAGACGCCAACCAGTTTGCCCATATTCATATATAGGCGCCGGAAAAAGAAAAGGAAGGACAATTTAATGGTCCATAGTGTAGTGTAGAACAGAAACACAATGGCAGCAGAGCTCTTCAAGAAGCGCTCAACTCGAGGGATGAAATCTGCGGGCGGGTACTGACGACCTGATGCCACCCGGTTATCGAGGTACATATCGTCAGCAACTACCTGCCATATAACTGCAATGACGAGAGTGATAAGCCAAGCAGACAAAACCAAAGCATCATCTAGATAGAATCTGCGGAAGGTCTTGAAGCGCATGAGGAACCGAAGGCCGCTGAAAACAGTACCGGCAGCAAAGCCACCCCAGAGAACTCCCTGTGTAAATAGGTAAGTTAATCTGACTATTTTTACAGCAGAAGTGAAATGATATACACACCATGAAAACATGTTCATGGACTTTAGCTGGTTGTGGAACGGTAGAAGAAACTCCCGTGTGGGCGGACATGTTGAGTGATGCAATAAACGAATACTGCTAGCTGTCAGAGTACCAACAAAAAGATTTATTTTTTCGCAAGCAGGCGTTAAGAGTTGATTGCTTTCGATGATGTTTGCTGTAAGTTCCTTGGGCTGCGATATTTAAACTTAGCTGTGCTTTGTCTATTGCAGCCTTGAGCAACACAGGAGCACGCCGCACGCGTAACAAAATCCTTTATGGCGCTAAAAATGCTGATACAGAAAGTGATTGCAAGCTAAAATTTGTCGCGCAGTCTCGCTGCGAGAGATCATGCGGGCTCTTTCAGCTGAGCCACGAATTTTGTATAAGCGAGCTGCACCTTGCTTCGGCATTGCTTTCGGAACTCCTAATTATAGTGGTTTCGTAGGTGGTTGCGCAAACAGACCTTCCTGTACGTCAGCTCAGTCCTAGTTGCCTGAGAAAAAAAGACCTTGTTGCATTGCAGGCAAATATATTGTTGACAATGCACTATGCGCGGGACTGAGACTATTACTGCTGGTAAGCGCCAAGCAGGATTATGGTTCATGCGTCAGCCGGTAAGTACGTACTTGCGACACTCTCACATATTCCCGCCGCTTTACCGGGTCGCCGTGCGCCCCCGCCCACCAGGCATACGGCCAGATGTTGGCACACTTCAAAACCCACTCGACTTTTTGCAGGCCACGCAAATATCGCTCAACCTCTCTGAAACTTCGTAGTATCAACGAGAGATAGCTAAAAAGTCATCTGCTTTAGATATAGAAAATTTGAAGCATTTCGTGGAAAGTGCTTTTCGTGCGAAGTTCACGCGGGGGTGGCCCGCGGAGTGTGCTAATATTTCCTGCTACTTACTAACTCGCTTTTTTCCGCACGTTATTCTCTATCGCTTTATTACTCACATGCAGATACACCTGGCTAGCCCTTGTGTACTGTTGACACCGCCTCACCACGGATGATGAGCCTTGTCGAGGTTTTTCTCTGGGGGGACGGATAATTTGACCGCCCCACGTGATATCTAACGCAAGCGGTTTTGTGCCTTTTACTACCTATTTTATACCTATATCTCCTACCAAGCCTACTACTACTGTGCCGTTAATTTCTATATGTTTCCGTATATTTAACTTCTACTACGCCTAGTTGTATTATTTAGCAGTATAGTAAGTAGAGTTATGTTATATTATTACATGTCTGTGTTACCTACTTCCTGCCTGTTACCGTAGAGTAACTAATAATATTCTTCTTTTCTGCCGGATGCTGCTGAAGTTGGTAGGCGGAAGGGGGGTTATCAAGATATCCAAAGAGGGCGGTTAAATTATCTAGCGCCTTTCCCTAATAAGCAACCGTCTGCTTAAGATTTTTACACATGCAAATTGAGGCTTTTCTTTTGTAAAGAGAACCTCCGTGAGCCTTGTAAAGAAGGCACAAATACGAATAGACTAGAGAATACATCTTTATTTTGAGTAGCAATGTTGACATCTTTGGCATGTTTTCATACAGAATACAGAATATAAGCCAAAGAAGTCCGCCGAAGTTTCGACAGCTGGCCCTTGTTATTTACTGCGTGCATAGGATTTTCACTGTCATTATGCAGACGCAACATTTTCTATGCAAAACAAAACATCTTGTCATAATTCGAAATGTCACTAGCTTGATATGTTCGGTACCTGACTGCACCCACGCTCTGACTAGTCATCCTACATAGCCAGTAGCACAAACTAATCCTATCTTCACGAAATCGAATAAGGTTAAGTGAGCAATACTGGAATCTTATATGAGCAATTTCTATTGGATTTTGCTGCCTAAAATGAAAACATCCAACGAAAGAAAGAGTTTGAATACCCCAAAAAATCTTGAACTCTCATCGTCTTGGAACCAAATCAAAGACCAAATCCATATCATCCATGGGACCAGTTGTACCAGTCGAGGGTCTCGTATCATCCAGCTTGGGAAATACCTGTGGCGGCTCTCCCGGTCGTGTAAATAAGGAAATATCAAACCGCTGCAGAAGACTCGCAACGAATCCACATACTTCGCTTTTAGCCAAGCTTTTTCCAGGGCAGTAGCTGATGCCACCGCCAAAAGGCCGGTATGAAGGGTGACTCTGCAACTTAGGTTCCCTTATGAAGCGCTCAGGATCGAAGTCAAAACATGCGCTGCCCCAAACATTCGTATTATAATGCAGTTGCCTGAAAGGAATCATCACGGTGTTACCGCTTTCCAATATCTTTCCTGAAACTTTCGTGGAAGTGACGACTTTGCGCACACTCATAGCGCCATTCACGAGCCGAAGTACTTCAGACCAGACCGAGTCCAGGAGTGGACATTCGTTAGCGAGATATGAGCTGTCTAGTCTTCCGTCCTTGAATGCTGGAGTAGTCTCTTCTCGGATCGACTCTAGTAATCCTGGATTAAAAAGAAGGTACGAAAAGATCCAGAAGCAGGCGTTCACCGTGTTGCTGTGAGCAGCCCACCATATCATGATGAACATGGCGACTCGGCTGTCTTCGTCCATGCCAGTAATCTCTTGGGATTTGAGAATGGAACGGATAGCCCAGCATTCGTCCTCCCTGTCTAATTCGGAGGTGTTTAGGTATGACCTAATGGCCTTGGAAAGGTTTCCAAGAGCAGGACCAAGTTTTGGAAAAAGAACCTTTGGAAGGTTGAAGACAACCGCCCAGGAGTAGTCATGAAGGACCATTAGGTGGTTTACTAGATCCGGTTCAAAGCTGAACATTATTTCTCCAAGCATAGCCCTTGTGACGGTTTCAGTCATGACCATCCGAACGAATAACTTCAGAGATATTCTCTTGTAAGCTGCTCCTTCTTCCAGGACGTATTTACCAGAAAAGTTTTTCCAGTGGAAAGTGTGGTCGATCACGTCAATGTACCGGCTGGTGAGGTGGTCAAGTTTGTCACCTGGAAGTAATTGCGCTTTGTAGAAGTCCTCGGTAAGATGGATGAGGTTCTTGTTTTGAGGGTTGAGTGGATTTGGTTTAAAGCCCATGGCATCTGGCCGGGGGTTATGCCATGCGAGCTCCAAAGATCTTCCAGTGATACCGAACGCCTGAAGGAGAAGATTCATATATTCGTCCCAAGAAAAGGCAGCGGAATTCCTGTATATGGTGACGGTATCGGCCGGGGAGCTGATAATGTACATCCGTTCGCAGAAAATGCGAAGAGCGAAAGGCTCATGCGTTCTTCCGAACGTATTCCTAACGATATTAAGATACGACTTAAGGTGCGAGTTACAAGCTTACTTACAGGCCAGCTTCAATTGTCTTGTCCCTGTTCCAGAAAAATGAGAACGAATGTCCGATGACTAATTTTAAGCCGTCAGTCTTTAGGTGCAAGAAACGTGAAGACCGTTGAATGCTCACAAGGGATCCAATATGGAGCCTCTCTGGGTCTCTCGGGGTTTAAATATGGTGAAATTGTGAAGGCCCATATCCTCCATAGAAAGAGAGTTAAGATGCCTAGAAGAAACAACCATAAACTCTTGATCCACGGATAGGCCATTTGAAGACCGTAGAGTGTGTAAATAGCGTGGGTTGTAACTTCTCGAAGCATATTTGATAGGTTGATGTCAAATAGATGCTAACAGATGAAAATATAGAAACTAGCTCTGTGTTTCGACTGTTTTGCAATACTTCCAACGGAGACTACGACTCATTTATACTATGTCATATGGAGGACTATCGGCTCTTAGGCCGCTTCGTTTTCACTGGTTCCATCCATCCCTTGAAAGCGCCTCCACCATGAATGAGGTGAGCCTGGATGAGGTAGTCTGTACAGCTTACAAGGCAACGATTACAATTTACAAGGCAACTAGCACGATTGCCATGGTGAGAATGAGTATCTGGCTTAGACTGAGGTGGCGACCGCTTCGAAGGCCGCATTTCATATGCGCCACATGCATATCTAGGGCAAGAAACCCTGCGGTGTGCCTCGTAAACCGAAAATATCACAGAAAAGGCTGAAGGAGTAGATGCAGCTACATGCCGACAGCTTAGGCATCTAAGACCTCTCCAAGGCTTGCTAGGTTTCCCTTTTTTTATTTGGGACTATCCCTTCACTTCTGTGTACATTTTTGGAAAATGATCGTCATCGCTTATTGAATTTGACGCATCGGCAATCCGGGAAAGGCTGTAGTATCCGCCCCCACTCCCGCCCCCATCTGACGTGCGGCAGTACCCGCACTTCCCGCAGATTTACAGCCAAGCGGCTTTGAAAATTGCGCGAATCAAACGCTTACCGGAAACAAGCCCTACCACATTCCTGCACGGGCCAATGCATGCTGCAGAAGCATGTAAGCATTCTTGTGGGCCTTAAAATACAGCCTGCTCCATTTAGGAGATGGATGTTGACGTAGGAGATCAAAGATAGTTAAGTTCTATTTTCATCCGAAGTAGCACATGCTACAAGGCAGCAGTGGATGAGAAAGTATTAAAAGACGCTTTTTTGGCCAGATGTTTTCCATCAAACACAAATCTCACCTCCACAAGAGATTAGTCTTATTGCCAGACAAAATGCATCTTTATCCAATTGGTCGTATTCTCAACTCAAAGCCAATGCAACCCAGCCACTTCTCTATTACTTTCGCAGACCTTACTGTCTTCTCCGTCCTTGCACTCTGTCCGATTTACCGCCTACTCACAGAAGGATTCACGGTCCGTGCGTTGCTATGGAACGACTGTATGTCTTTTTCTACTTTGCAGCAATATTGTCGGATCTGAAAACTAATCTTTATAGCAGATATCTGCTTGTTTGCAATGGTAAGGAGCGAACATTGCTTATGTATTCTACTTCGGCTGATCTGGTACTCCGTCGTAGGTTCTCTTTGCATTCAACCGGAGGCCTACCATCATCCACACAATTATTGAAAGCGAGAAAAAAGCTCAATGGTGAAGGTCTCTCTCAAAGTTGTAATGATTACATTTAGCGCATTTTGGCGTTATTGCCAGGATACCTAGGCAAACGAAATGGAATGTTATAATGATAAGTAGGCAAACAGGCAACAGAGACAATAATCAAAGTGAAACCGCTTCGGGCGGGAACTTTTCCAAGAATATCTCCATGACTAATTCAGTTTCCGATGCCACCCAATAAGCGTGCGATTGAACCCCGTCGCGTTGGTGACAAACGCGTGCTACTTGCGAGCTGGATTTCGGCCTGCGTTTGGCAGGGCGCGCTAGTTCCACCCATGTCTGGACCCCGCCGTGTGGGTGACAGGCACCGCGTCGGAGGTCCAGGAACGTTCCTTCCGGGCGCGTATTTGTTTTTGCGGCTCAAATCTATGTCGCGTCGCGCCACTCATATACCTCGCCGCTTCTCCCTCGCCTCCCAAGCTTCGTCGACTTCACTTTCACTCTAGCCATGTTGTCGTTTTGGCTTCTTCTTCTTCTCGGCCCACCCGCAGCCCTTATAATCTCAACACTCCGTGCAATACTGCGCAACCATGCAATTGCGCGCAAGATCGGGCTACCGATCATTCTCGTGCCCATTAGTCCCGAAAACCCCCTATGGATGATTCTTGCGCCCTACTTTATTCACTGGCTGCAGTACCTTCCCTTTGGCTCCGGCTATTTCTCACGCTTCTGCCACATCGGCTGGGAGTTTGACGAAAAGTATCGTGCTCATCTTGAGTTCGGCGACGCCTTTCTGTTTGTCACTCCTGGTAAAAACTGGATCTATCTCTGCAACGCAGAATCGGTCCACGACATCATCCTGCGCGAACGCCGTCATGATTTTGAGAGGCCAGTTGAACTCCTAGGTACGTCAGAAGCCGTTTAAACCAAAAGCTTTAACACTGACATCGCAGTAGCCATGCTTGATGTGTTCGGACCGAATATATCGACTGTATGTTCTGGTCGTGCCTACCTAAGCGCCTTCTCTAACATTTAGTGCAGGTGCAAACTCACGACTGGCAGCGTCAACGTAAAGTAACTGCCACCGCATTTACCGAGAAGAACAACAGGATTGTTTGGACGGAAGCCCTGGAGCAGGCACAGCAAGTGCTCAAGTTCTGGCAAAATACCGGTCAGGTTCAGAGTACCGCTATCGACTCGAGGACCGTAGCTCTTGATGTATTAATGAGCGCTGGGTTTGGCAAGTCGTTCCCTTTCCAAGGCGCTTCCGCAAGGGCAAAACACGGCCCTATGAGCTACCGAGACTCTCTTGCGCTTATCCTGGAAAATGCAATCCTCATCCTGGCCATGGGACCAGACTTCGTCAGCCGCATCAAGTTCCCAGCAAAGCTTGCGCGTGTCGGAGAGGCTATTACTTCCTTTAAGACATACATGGTCCGAGCCTTTGAAGACGAGAAGAAGGTCATCCTAGAGGACCACGTACAACGAGAAAACCTCATGACAGCCCTTGTTCGAGCCTGTGTAAAGCCAGCTGTCCATGATGGAGATACAAGTGCAGAAGGAATCAAACGGTTCAACCTGTCTCAAGAAGAAGTCTTTGGCAACATGTTTGTCTTCAACTTTGCCGGCCATGACACTACAGCCCACTCCTTAGCGTTCACCTTCTACCTGCTAGCTGCATATCCCGACATACAGGATTGGATGAACGAAGAGATTTGTCACATTTTTAAAGACGACGATAGAACAAAGTGGAACTACGATGACAGCCAAAGGCTCAATAGATGCTTAGCAATTTTGGTACAGTGGACTCATTTAACTTATTGCAAGTCACATTGGAGCTAATAAGAAAATACAGCTTGAAACTTTGCGCTTATACAATCCTCTTCTCAGTGTTGTCAAAGGGACACAAAACAACACTACTGATCTGGCGATTGGCGAACATGTTTATCCGATTCCTCCCAACACTCGCGTAATCATCAACTTGAATGCTCTTCACTCTCACCCCCGCTATTGGGGTGATGATAGTCTTGAGTTCAAGCCATCCCGCTGGATCCTGATCAAGGAAGGCGACGGCCCAGCTATTGACCGTGAGTATCTCTACACTCCTCCCAGAGGCGCGTATCTTCCTTGGTCCGATGGAAATCGCGCATGTCCAGGTAAGAGGTTTGCGCAAGTTGAACACGTTGCACTCATGGCGTCTCTCTTCCGTGATAATCGTGTTGAGCCGGCAAAGCTGGAGGGAGAAAGCGACGAACTGGCGAGAAAGCGGACCTTGGATTGCATCGCTAGCTGCGGGATGCGGCTTCTCTTTCAGATGCTGCGACCTGAGGACGTAGCACTGAAGTGGATGAAGGCAAATGAGTGAGCGGAGATGTGTATCGGATGTTTCAAATCTCCTTACTTCACATTACATCGTCAGTGGCTTTGACGGCGACAAATTTAATTATGTTTTGGTATTGGTGTTCGTTTCAAAGTCAAATTTGTTAGCTGGAGGAGGATAATAAAACATATTTCGTTAGATCAAGAATAATTTTAACAGCCCAAAAGCCGGCCGAATGCGATCATGACGAAGAAAAGAAAAGTTGTCCTTGCAAAGTAGTGGACAAGCGTGGCGCGATGATCACCAAGCAGAGGAGCGGGCCGCTTCCTTCACGTTAAATCCCTGTGATGCCATGCTGATTTCGACAAATCAGTCCAGCTAAAGCTATTTTGTGGTACCAAGCCAAGGGTTAATGGCACACGAATAGGCTGGCTTCAAGTTGCCAAAGGAGTCTCGCCTTCAGAAATTTCACCATCTTCCTAATCACAACGTATTCCCCAGCTGCGTTATCGTTATTGAGTACATACACGCAGTCCTTCAATTGATGATTATATCCAAAAAGAACACTACTATCGACAATACTCATACCGAGTTACACGTTGTCCTCACAATGCTGAACGCAGGCTACACCCTATCCTTGCACTGCAAGTCCACCACCGTCGCCGCGCCGACTGTACCATCCATTTTACAGCGACACAAATTGTGTAGTATAAGGACGGCTGCTTAGCCTAGGACGATAAGCGGTAATTCGAAAAGCAGCCAAGGGGCCCTGACTGTGTCTGTGTCGGCAACAGCTCGCTGCGTTGATAGACGGAGTCTGTAGTACTTAGCGGACGCTTAAGCAGGGCTAGCACTTGCGGGACAGGCAGCTCGGGCGTTCGCAAATGTCTTCAAATCATCTGAGAGCCATGAATTTTGGTACTGTCAGGTATGGATTGTTCCAATTCGAAAGGCCGCTGATAGGTTTTTTCGTAGAGCTCCCATTTGGCCATAGTTTGACCAAGGACGGAAGATGCAGGGACAAGTCGCTTACTAGAACAAAGAGATATGGGCGAAACTGATTCGAATGCTTTTATAGATCCGTAAAACAAAAGAACAAGAGAAAAGGGCCTGAAGGTTACTCTTGATTTCGTGGGAGGTACGGCAAAGTAAGAGTGAAGAAAGCTGTTTCGAAATCTGCATTTCTTGTTAACGTATTGCCTCCCTGCTAAAGTCCCTACGGTTGTTTGACTTACACTTAGCCCATTTTCTACGAGACTCATGAATCTCCAAACAAAATAATTCGAGCTGCTACTACACATACATCTGGCCTTATCTTTTCCATATTCCTCCCCAGAAATGTAGCCGCACCCATAAAAGCTCTAAAAATATGACAGCGATGCTAATTTAACGCCCTCGAATACCTAGATGGAACTTTTAGCTTGTCTTACAACCTATAGAAAGAACATCTTACAAAGACGCCTAGATGAATTGATAATGCTGTTGGGTTTGAAATCTAGTCTCAAGAATATGAACCAGTACCGGAGGAGTCAACGATTACAGTTCCACCTCAAGCCTCCGCAGAACCCGTGCAAACCTACGTACGCGATCACAATCGACCAGATACACGCAAGTGCCGCTCTGCCACCACGCACACTGCCCTCCAAGCAGCCTACGCACGACTTACCTTCCCTTGGACGCAGTACTCAGCGAACGCAAACCCGGCAGCGCCAACTAGCACGGATGCCTTGCCCCACGTTCCCCACACCCGGGCAGACACAGCCCTAACCGCGACCGCGACCGTATCGATCCCAGATACTCGTATCTAGATAGCCCACAGGCTAATTTCTGCGCCACGGGGAGGCCCGCTCTCCTGCTTCCCGCTTACGGTTGCCTGACACAGGGCCTAGGCGATGGTTTCAGCCGCTCTTTGCTTTCCTCACAAGGCTGGCGCAGATTGGTGCGCCCGGAACGAGATGCAGATGCAGATGCAGATGCGACGGTGCCTTGATTGAGGTGATACGGAGTACGGATAGGTGGGTTCCACGATTGCTGACGAGATGGAGCTGGATGCGCGCAACGTTGCATGTAGTGGAGTAAGTGGGATACGGAGGGGTTACGGGCTACGGAGGAATGGATGGAGGCTGGGCAAGGCTTGGGTTGCTGTACTGTGTCGGGTGAGGGTTTGGGCTTGCGGTACGGAGTACCGATGGGGAAGTTGTTAGCTGGTGTCGACCAGTGCAAGGCTTAATCAGCTCCGCGGAGGAGGAAGCGGGGAAGTCCGGGGGCTCAGGGCTGGACGAGATAAATTTAGCGAGTCGAGTGTCACGCTAGACCCGCTTGCGACATCCTTGCGAGACGGCTCACTCTTAGCACGTGACGGGGCCCCTCGCCGCCTTTTTAATTCCTCTTCTTTCTCTTCCTTCCTTCAACCAACCCTCTCTCTCTCTCTCTCCACTTCATCCCTTCCGCCCAAGGACCGGGCCTCAAAGCAGGAGGCCCTTTTCTTTCGTGCATCAATTTTGGACCGAAGAAGAAAACAACCAACAATGTCTTCCCAGACTCTCGCCATCTTCTACTACTGCCCCGACCAGGCAGTCGGCCCAGCAGACGTCACCTAACACCACCTGTGGATTCGATTCCACCTATCCGTTTTACGACACCTCGACCGGCTTTTCTTCTTCGGCTTCGACATCTCCCGACTTCTTCGCCTTTTCTTACCCTGCCTTTTCGTTTGGCCATGCATCGGCCTTCCAGCCCGCCCCCAATGTCTCGCTCGATTCCTTTGCGAACATCGACTTCTCCAACCCGCTCGCCTACCCTTTCTCCACTACCGACGACGTGGCCAACGCTTATCCTCCCGTCCTGCTCGATTCCTCGCCGCAAACCGAATCGACGTTCATGAGTATGTTCCTAATGTCTTCAATCGCGAGCACGGTACTAACGACGCCCAGACGCCGACGGCCTCGCCTACCTGGACCACATGCTAAACCCCTCCATTCAGGATCCGACAAACCCTTCCTCGCACCCCGCAGGCAGCACCGCTCTGCGCATCCCCACCGACGCTCCCACAGCGCCCGTGTCCCCATCCTCACAGCCACTCTCGCAACCCACCACCAGCACTTCACCCACGCCACCAAACAAGCGCAAACGCGCCAACCCCACCGCCGCAACGACAACGACAACCACCTCCACCTCCACCTCGCCCACGACAACAACCCCGCCCTCCAGCGACGACGCGGCCGCCGACGCAGACCGCGCCCTCAAGCGCCAGCGCAACAACACGGCCGCGCGCAAGTACCGCCAGAAATTCGTCGACCGCATCGCGGAGCTGGAGGCGGTGCTCGCGGCGACGGCGGCCGAGCGCGACGCGCTGAAGCTCAAGCTCGTGGGGCGGGATGCCGAGGTCGAGGTGTTGCGGGGGTTTGTGGAGCGCTCGCGGAAGGCGTAGGGGGTGGTGTCTGGCGTGAGGGGGTGTTAGTTTTGGCCTGGTGAGGAGGAGGGAGGGAGGAAGGGGTAAAGGAGGGGCAGGGTGCAGAGGCGTCTGACGATGTCGACAGTGTGGGATATCAGCTCGCGACGAGGTGTTCGGCCCCGCGCGTTTTTTTCATATCGGCAAAACAGCTTTGCTTTCTTCACGGCCTCTTTGTTGTGGGAGAAGGATAGATAGATAGTAGGAAGGACGTTGGAATCCAAACTCACCCACTACCCTCACACATTCCTCTTCACACACGCTCAACGCCAGCGAACAAGACAACTTCAACGCAATTCTGTTTGTTTCTGTTCTCTTCGAGTCTGTCTATCTATATGCTCTCGCAACACACAAACACACAACAACAACCCCGCTCCGTGCAATGAGACACTGTGCACAAGAAATGGCTTTTCATGAATCACCTTCCCTCATCTTCACTCACACAACCCCCTCACCCCCTCAGCACACACACACACACACACACACACACCACGCCCCGTCCCCCGTGCAGATGGCGCAGAGTCAGAATGATTCATCCCGCCACGCAAACGCCACGTCCCACGAGCAGCCAATCACAGCCGCGTCGCTAGCTGCAAAAGGCTTAGCGCGTAGGTAGCGGATGGTAGCGCGGATGAATCATTCTGAGTCACGCCGCCTTGCGCCTCGCGCCCGTGCACGCAGCGCCAAGGTAGGTAGAGTAGTAGGCAGGCACCACCACCACCACCGCTACCGCCGCACAACAAATGCAGCTATACCCACCTATATCTTAAAAAGATAATATCACATAACATCACACAATCAACAATCATCACATCACACAACCAACCAATCGTTAACCCACCCCCTACCGCACCGCGCGCGGGTTACAAGTACTACTGCCTTGGCTGGCTCTTACTTGCTCATTTATATTGCTAGCTAGTGCTCGCTAGCTAGGTAGGTAGGTAGGAGCTACGAAAGAGCTGCGTATATAATAGGTGGTGGATGTATATTTGTGTATGTATATGTATATATATCGTAGCTGATACTTTGATATGGGAAAGAAATAGCTCGAAGAAAGAAAGATAAGAGAGAGAAGAAGAAAAGATAAAGAAACAATAAGAAGAAAAAGTTAAGTTAATTTATACAGCGAACCGAATCGAACAGAAGTATAAAAACAAAAAAAGCCAAATAGGTATTAAACAAGTCCAAGCCAAAGTCAAAGTCGAAAGAAGACCAGCTCTCGCCATCGCCATCGCCATCGCCATGCTATGTGTGCGTAAAACTTTTTGCGTCGGAAAAACATCAACACCACCTCCTCTTCCTCTTCCTCTCCTCTTCTCTTCTCGCTTAGGGCCAGGCCCAGCCCAGCGTCGCGTCGCGTAGCGTCTGCTACTTATACATACCATACATACCATACCACAATTGACAACCCACGACTCACCCTCCTCTTCCTTCCTTCACATCCAACCTCCACACCCACACACCCACCCTAAAAAACAGGCAACGCCCTCTCCTTGAACCCACCCCAACCCGGCCTCACCCTCCCCCCGCCCCTCCGCTCACTCTCGGGCGCAATCTGCAGATCCTCGACCGCGCTCGCCAGCGCCAGCAGTCGCGCGTCCTGCCACGCCGTCCCCATGACCGATATTCCAAACGGCATGCCGCTGCCCGCGCGCACCCCCACCGGCACCGTCACCACCGGATACCCCGCCATGGCCGCCACCTGCGCCGCCTGCGCCACGTCGGCCGGCGCGAGCAGCGCGTCGATGCTTACGGAGGTGCCGTTTGCGAGCCGGTGCGATGAGAGCGCCGCGTCGATGCCGTGCGTCCGTGATGCGTTGGTGCAGAACGAGAGCGCTTGCCAGTAGTCCTCGTCTTGGGTGCCGTTGGTCGCGAGCGCCGCGAGGAGCAGGTCCTGGCCAGAGGCAAAGGCGGGGTGATCGCCGGGGTGGGCGCCCGTGGCCGTGGGGTTTGCGAGGTTGTATCTACGAAACATAAGCATGCTGACATAGAAAAGGGGCAAAAGAAGGAACGAACTTGACAATGTCCTCCAGCGAGTGCATGTCCGTGTTGCCCAGCTCCGAGAGGTACTGCTTGAGGTCGTTGTAAAAGTCAACCTTGACATAGGTAAACTCCGACTCGTTGGCGCGGCCGCGCTTGCTGCCGTAATCCCAGTCCCAGCCGTCCGGGCTGATGATGTCGCCGCGGCTGGGAATCTCGGTGCCGTTGACTATGGTGGCGCCCGCCTCCTCAATCAGCGTCACCAGGTCCAGCAGCTGGCGCAGCATGTCGGGCTCGGTGAAGCGCCAGAAGCTGTCCCACGGGATGCCGAAGACGGCGCCCTTGAGCGCGTCCTTGCCGGTCATAAAGGACGCGTAGCCCTCGCGGCTCGGCACGTCCGAGTTGTTGAGCTGCGACAGCGTGTAGTTGTCGCGCGTGTCGACGCCGTAGATGCCGTCCAGGCAGTAGGCGGCGTCGCGCACAGTGCGGGCAAAGCAGCCGACCGTGTCCTGGTGCAGCGACTCGGGAATCACCCTTGGACATGTCGTGGTCAGCGACGGGTAAGGAAATCGGGCGGATTTGCTTACATGTCGCGCGACGTCAGGCCGACGGTAGGCTTGACGCCGACGAGGCCGTTCCTCTGGGCCGGGTTGATCACTACGCACAGTCAGCAAGGCCCCCCGCTCAGATACGATACGAGAAGCGTTAGACTCACCGCTTCCGTCCGTCTCGGTGCCAATGGCAAATGCGGCGAGGTTGGCGGCAATGGCGACGGCGCTGCCCGAACTGCTGCCGCCAGGGCTGACGGTCAGGTTGTAGGCGCTGCGGCACTGTCCGCCGCGTGACGAGTAGCCCTCGGAGTAGTTGGAGGAGCGCATGTCGGCCCACTCACTCATGGCGGCGTGGCCGAGCAGCACGGCGCCCTCGCCGCGCAGACGGGTGACGACGTGGGCGTCGCGGGGCACGCGGGAGCCCATGAGGGCCCAGGAGCCGGCCGTAGTCTGCATCTTGTCTCTGGTCTGGTAGGCAGGTAGTCTGGGATTAGTGGTGGGCGGGCGGACGGGCGGATCGGACCGAGAGATCGTCACTCACGGCAATGTTGTCCTTGACCAGAAAGGGGATGCCGTGCAGGGGTCCGCGAACGTGGCCGGCCGCCCGTTCCTGGTCCAGGGCGCGGGCGATCGACAGAGCATCGGGGTTGAGCTGCATGACAGCGCTGCTCCTCCCGTCAGCGTGGAGAGGCCCCACGCGGGGGTTAAAAAAAGACTCACCGGACGTATTCATCAGTCTGGAAAATGCGCTCGAGGAAGCACAGAGTAAAGTCAACGGCCGTCATGGAGCCGTTGGACATGACGGTCTGCATCTCGTCGATGGTGGCTTCTTCGAGGGTGAAGTTGGCGCAGAGCTGCATGGGCAAGACATCCTCGACGGACTCGTTGACCGAGGCGAAGAAGTAGGCCGAGTCGCGCAGCAGCTGGCTCTCGACGAGGGCGTCGCCGAAGAAGACGGGCTTGTCAGTGGCGCCCGTGTCGACGGTGATGACGTTGACTTTTGCGGCGTGGACGAGGGCGACAATGACGATGAGCGGTAGCACGACGGAGACGTACATGGTGGCGGCAGCTGGCGAGTCGTAGCGGCGGACGGGCAGTCGGGATTTTGTAGGGCGACCAGCGGGTGGGCCAATCTTAGGCGTGATAAGGGGCGGCGGGCCCTCGCTAGTTCGGCTGCCGCCGACGTTTCCGGCCGTTGAAGCCCCACACCGCTATATAAGAGAGAGAGAGAGAGAGAGATCGAGCGAGAGGATTGTTGTGTGAGAGAGAGAGTGTGAGAGAGAGAGGGTGGAGAGCCGGAGGGTCCAGGCAGCTAAGGCGGCGGCGGGTGTGCGTCGCGGCAACGAGTCATGCAACAAAAGGGAAGGAAGGAAGGAGAGAGAGAGCTCGTCGACCTTGTGCCTTCCTCCCGCAGGCTTTTCCTCGGACCATCTCCACCCATCTGCAACATGTCGTGGCCACCCAGTCGCCCCGCCCTCCACCACCGACTCAGGCCACATCTTTCCGTCCCCATCTCCGATCCCGCCTACCCCCCTGCACCTTTTTTTTTTTCTTTCCAAGTTTTGCTTTTTGATTGGCCTCTGACTCGTGAATTTCTCTATGATCGCCGCCTAGCCCGGACCTGCCTCCGCTCTACCTAGCCTCTAACGCCTAGTCTGCCCACCCGCCTGGCGTTACGGCCGTGCCTTGTGCTTGGCTTTTATTGACTTCCGTGCTATTGCTGCCCGCCCTTTTGCCTTTCCCTTCATTACTTTCTCGTTGGCCGTGAACTACTCGCGTACCTAGGAATGTTGGCGCCAAGCTCAAGCTCAGACCCGTCAGACGTCTCGCTCTCAACCCTCTCATTCATCCCTACCCGATCCAATTACCCAAGTCCGTCTGTTAAGAAGCCAGTGACGCACCACGCGCCGAGCGAGTAGGAAGTGCGGGCGGCGGCGAGTGACCAAGACCAAGACCAAGACCAAGCCCGAGCCCGAGCAATCCGAGAACGCGAGCGCCTCGGCGCCCGCGTCCGAGCATACCGACCGACATAGTGCGTGGCGCGAGCGTCTTCGGCGTCCGCGTCCGAGCCTACAATACCTTAGGTACCGGCATGGTGGTGCGAGCCATGAGAGTGAGCGAGGGCGCATGTAGGTAGGTAGGCGGCGCCGCGGCCAAGCGCAGACAGACAGAATCTTGGACGCTTGGAAGCTAGGTAGCTTGGCCCGCGCTGGGCCCGCGCTGGGCAGCGGGGGCGCGAGACGCCCAGGCGGAAGGAGCGGCGGAGCTAGTGCGCGCGCCTGCTTGCCCGTGATGGGTACTCGCTCGGCCGGTCACTCGCCAGCTAGCCTCCTCCCTACCAAGACAAGACAAGACCAGGACGGACCTGATCAGATCAAACCTCGTCCCTCGGTCTCAGTCTCAGTCCAGACGTGGATTCATTCCGACTTCCCCTCCCCTCACACACTACACACAACCCACCCCACACTCACTCACTCCCCACCCTTCCCCTTTCCCGTCTTCGGCACAGGCACCGACCGCCTCCCTCTCACCCTCTCATCACTCCGCACCGGGCCCGGGCGCTTCCCCCTGCCCAGCACCGGCTCCTGTCCCTGTCCATCCTCCACCGGGCGTGGCTGCTGTCGCTCCGGCCGCGATCCAAACCTAAACCTCCGCGTACCAGTAGATCGAGGGTCCGGCATCACATACACTTCGTGCCTCTGCGCCCGCGACTCCTTCTCCTGCGCCCGCTTCTCCCTCTCCGCGTCTGCGTCGAGCGCCGCTCGCAGCGCTTGCGCCGCTTCGGCCGCGGCGTCGCCTTGGTGCACGTCGGCGTGGTCCCAGTCTGTGCCGAAGGGGTCGTGCCAGACGGGGTCGGCGTCGGGGTCGGCGTCAGCATAGACGTTGGCGGCCGTGTCTGGGGGAAGGTCCTGCGGTTGGCGCGTTTCGATGGTGGTGGTGGTGGTGGTGGTGGAGAAAGAGGATGTCTCTTCTACGAGGATTGGCTGCTCTTGCTCTTGCGTTTGCGCTTGCTCTTGCTCTTGTTGTTGTTCCAGCTCCGCAGCCTCTTTTTCAGCCCGTCTCCTCGCTCTCCTCCTCTGTTGTATCGCCCTCTTCCGCTCCCGCTTTGCGTCTGCGTCTAAGAGAGGGTCCTGGGGCTGGGATTGGTGCGTTTCCATGGCGGTGGTGGTGGATAAGGAAGATGTCTCTTCTACGAGGATTGGCTGCTTCTGCTCTTGCTGTTGCTCCTGCTCCTGCTGTTGCTCCTGCTCCTGCTCTTGCTCTTGCTCTTGCTCTTGCTCTTGCTCTTGTTCTTGTTCTTGTTCATGTTCTTGTTCTTGTTGTTGCTCCAGCTTTGCAGCCTCCCTTGCAGCCCGTTTCCTCTCCATCTTCCGCTGTTGCTTCTCCATCTTCTGCTGGTGCTTCGCCAACTTCCGCTCTTCTGCCATAGCCTGCGCCTTTGTAGCCTTTTGCCTCTCCTGTCTCCGCTGGCTGGGTTTGAGGCTGGGGCTCTGCGGTCCAGGCGCGGCTTCGGCCTCTTCCTCGCATGCCGCTGCCTGTCTTGCCGCCTCTTCCCTCCGCTTCTCCTGTCTTCTCCTCTTATTCCCAGCCATTCTAACCACCTTTCTTCTCAGCACAGCAAATTTCTGGCGCTTTGCATAAAACTCCTCCCACAATCTTTCTCTGTGCGCCTCCCTCGCCATCAGCTCGTCGTATGTCTTCGGAATAGATGGGCTCTCGTTGAGGAGATCCGTATTTAGAAGTTCTTCGAGGGCAATGGGAAGCTGTTGGGCCATGGTAAGCTCTGGGTCAAGCGCCTCCAACCTCTTCACCAGTCTTTTGTCCTCATAATATTTCTCCTGATCATACTCCCTCTTCTTTTCTTTTGCAACCTCTTTCCATCTCATCTCCAGATACGCCTGCCTCGTCAGGCCCCCTTCGTATTCTTGCATCGAAGTTGGGTCCTTTCTAAACTCACGCAGAAGCGCCATGACAGCATCGGTACCATCCTCGCCTTTCCACCACATGCTTACGTCTTCGTGAAGGGTGTCCAGAAACCTCTTGACAATGAGGAAACGCTCCACGCTGGGATTTTGCTTACCTGCCGGCGCCTCCTCGTCGGGTGCTGTAGTGCGTGCTTGTCGTAACTGCTCTTGTACGGCGCTTACCATATCGGAGAGCTCTGGTGGCTTTTGCTCGCGTTCCGGGATCAGGTCTCTGATCTCCTCAAAGCTTGTGGCTGTGGGATTTGCGCTCTGGAAGTACCGCGGTTCGGTCCTGCGGAAGCCCAGCACTGCGTTGGCGTTTTCCAGTTCTTGCTCCTGTTGTATTCTCTTTTGCTTATTCTGCCTACTCCGCTCCCTGGCCTTTCTGGCTTTCTCCTTCCTCCGCTCAATTTCCCATCTCTTCTTCTCCAGATACCCCGTTTTCTTCTCTTTTTTGAGGTTGTTCAAGTCGATCTGGGCGGCGCGGGATTCCTCTGCGGCATGCGTTTCCGTTTCTGGCTCCGGATGGACGAACAATTTGCGGCTTCGTTCTTCGACTGCGGCGGCTTTGAGTCTCTCCAGGAGGGAGGCTGTGTAGACGGGGGCTTGCGGCTTTGGTGCCGCGGCCTGTTTTGCCTGGGCTTTCTTGGCACTCGTCGCCTTTTCAACCGTTGCCTCTTCTGGCGCGTCTTTTTGCTCTTGTGCTGGTTTTCTGTCGTCCCGAGCACTCTGGTTCGTGACACTCGTCTCTTTCTCAACAACTACTTGCTCTTCTTTGACGACACCTTCGTCTATTGTCTCTTTGAGCACTTTTGTCGCGTCTTCGTTTCGAAAGCGGGTCGACGTAGAGAAAGCCCTAGTATCCAACCTTGCAGAAAATTTCCTGACCACGTTTTTGTCAGGAATTTTCCTGACCATCTTGTCCCCAGTGTTAAACCATTTCCTACGTATGACACTCTTCTTCACTCCTAACGGACCAGGCTCTTTCTTGCTAATGCTCAGAGCAAAAGCGGGTTTCTTTTTCTTTGGAGCTACACCACGCTTCTTCCCTACACGAGCACTCAAGTCAATAGCGGCTTTCTTTGTCTTTTTCTTTGCAGGCGCTTTCTCCACATCATCGATCAAACCAAAAGCGTCATACTGCCCCTCTGCAAACTGGTCTGGCTGTTTCTCCACATCAACGCTCGAATCAGGTTCGCCAGTCTCAATGAGACTGAGAACATCGTCGACGACGCCCGAAGCATGCACCGTCAGGCCCCAGCGATGAATCTCGTTGACCCAAGCCAGCAGCCCGTGCAACTGCGCCTCGGCAGCGTAGTTTCCGCTCAGGAGGAACGCCGTACGGCAACCTTTCCAGTTATCCCTAGCGTCGAACACGGGCGTGGAGCACCAGAGCTGGTAGAAAGTGTCCGATACGACAAGACCGTAATGCTTCATTTGCGCACGGTCCTGATCGGACCAACGGCTTTTGCTGGCCTTGAGCTGCCGTTCCTTGAGCATGAAGCGGTTGTACAGCGCCGTGGCGGACGCAGCAGTCACCTGCGCCAGGCCCTGCACGGCCAACTTGGTCCCACTGACGATATCGACGCTGAAGTAGGGGCATAGGAGGCGGTCCTCAACGATGCGGACGTGCTCCGCGACGAGGTCTCGGGACGCGGGCTCAAACATCTCCAGACTGAGCCAGTACATGCAGTCAGGCTTCATGGGCAGCGCGTGCGGGAAGCCGCCCTTGAACTGTGGCGGCTCCTGCCACTTTGCGTCCGGGAACACCTCGAGCCCGAGCTTGCGCACGCTGTTCACGTGCCGCGACTCTGACGAGAAGTCCTGGCTGTTCTCTTTCAGCACGTGCGTCCGCATGAAGTCGATGTGCTCGGCGTCGGTGGCGATATCCCGCTCCATGGCCTTGAGTTCATCGCGTATGCGCGCCACCATGGCCCTGAGTTGACCGCTTAGGCGTGCCACGGTCTCGTCGTCGGTGCTTGCCCAGAGCGAGGTGTTTTCGAGACCCGGGATTTGGCGGTAGTACTGCGGCATGGTGTCAGCATTGGCGTCGTCCTGGTCGGGTAAGCGTATATGGAAGTGGTCGGCCGGGTCGATGATGGGGACGTGGTCCTGCGTGTTGAAGATGCCACGCGGGACGAGTGCTTTTTGGAAGAAGAGCTGATCATCAGCGCGCAGGCCGCGTATGCGGTCCTCATCGGGTATTGGAGGTGGGAGCAAGCTGGCTTTGCGCTCGTTGTGGCTGTCGCGGCTGCGTACGTCTTCCCCATCATTATCTGTGATGCGCTCGGTTTTTGTCAATGGGCTCCAGTAGCGCTTGTCTTCCATGTCTATCTCCCCAAACTTGTCTTTCTCCCGCTCTGGCGCATCATGCATCTCTGGCTTCCGCGGAATGACATCCTTCTTTGGAAGCCACATTGAAGGACGCCGCTCCTCTTGCTCCCCCATCTCCCCAAATGCATCTTTCTCCCACTTTGGCGCACCCTGCTTTGGAAGACTCAATGAAGGACGCGGCTCCTCCACCTCTTCTATCTTCACGAATGCATCTTTCTCCCGCTCTGACGCACCCTGCTTTTGAAGACTAAATGAAGGACGCGACTCCTCCTCCTCTTCTATCTCCCCATACGCATCTCGATTCACAATGCGTGCCCCCTCCTTCTGCATGACGGCATTTTTCACTGAAACCCTCAACAAAGGAAGCTCCCCGCCTTGCTCTTCTATCTCCCTAGACGCATCCCGTACCCGTTTTGGCACATTTCGCCTCCGCAACTTAAGTAGCCGCAACTCCTTCATCGCATCTGGTAGCTTCCTCTCCAACAAGTGTGCTCGCTCCCGCTCCAACCAAAGTAGCCGGTTCCGGTCCGGCGATTGTGGCCGCTTCCGGTCCGGCGCATGTGGCCGCTTCTGCTCCAACGCATTTGGTCGCTCACGGTCCGGCGCATTATGCTTCACAATGCGTGGCCCCAGCTTTAGCCTAATGGCATCCTCCTCTGGACGCCTAACCCAAGGACGCCGATCTATTAGTATCTCGTCCGCATTGTGTGGTTTCTTATACCCTTGCTCATGTTTTTGCTCCGAATGCCTAAACGAAGGACGCAGCTCTGTTGGCGCCCGGTCCACAATGCCTGGTATCTTGTCTCCTTGATCTTGTTCTTGCTCCGCCTCCAGCTGCGTCACAATTTTCCCCCTCACCCGCACTTTCCCCGTTCCCACATCCAAGACCTTGTAATCCCCAAGCATCTCCTCTCGCGTGGGGGATCCCAACGATCTGTGTCTCCGTATGCGCACATTGTTCTGGACTAATTCCGGGTTATCGGTCGTAGGGAAACTCCGGATAGTGAGCGTGCGGGTGGACGCGGTGAGGCGTGTTAATGCTGTTGACCGGGCGAGGATGGCGGTGGTGAGACTGTGTGGGTGTGGGTGTAGGCGCGTGAAGGCGCCGGTGCCGGCGACGCGGCATCCCCGGTGATTAACGGGTTGGCGCGGGCGGCAGAGCGCGCTGAGCATTGATTGATTGTGGATTGGTGGACGCGTGCGTGGGTGGCGTGGCGTGGGCGGCGCGCGGTGGTCGAAGGTTTTTTGGTGTTGCACCGCGAGTCGGTCCAGAGCGGAGACTTGGGTAGTTGGTGCGTGCGCCCCGTCGCTACGGCGGGCGTCGCCGCGCTGCTGTACAGAACCTCCGCGGCGAGCTTGTATTCCAATTCTATTCGATTGAAATGGAGTAGAAACATTCGATCCTAGAAAGTATTATGTTCTATGATTAACAATTCTGTTTTCTATATTTGTTTTCTTTACACGTAGTCTTTGTACAGAGACACTGTTATCCAATTTTTGATATCGGGACTGACTTCCATACTAATGCAAATCTCTTCTAGTCAGCTACCAAAGCTCTAAAATATCATTAATTTGTTACTAAGTCGTAGCAATGTCTTTTACTCCGGTAGACATGGAGATGGGCGGAGCATATTGCCGTCTGGAAAGTATTAAGCTGGGTTTAATAGCAAAGAGGTAGTACCCAAGGCCAAGACTACATGAAAACCTGTAAACCCGGTCTAAGTGAGGGAGCGCGTAGTGTCAGTATGCCGACTGGAAGCCCAAATGATATCTAAATCTTCACTGAAGACAACTTCATTCATAGTTACGACAATGCAAACACCGACAAGCGTCCAAACAATCCCAGCACTTCTTTGACTTAATTCAGTACCCTTATAAGTGACATAGCTTTTTCAACAACCATCAACAACAAGGAAGTTCGCTTCCAACAGTCGCCTGGCTAGCTCAATCGGTAGAGCGTGAGACTCTTACCATTCCTTCGAAAGAAGACTATGCTCTAAGGTATCTCAAGGCTGCGGGTTCGACCCCCGCGTTGGGCTCAATTCCCAAACAACACTTTTTTTGCACTTGAAATGGTTGTGGTAGCGTAAATATTCGTGGTTGTGGGGCCGTTGAAGAATTTTGGTGGTGAGAAATCTGGCCGACATTTTGCCGAGCTCCGGACATACGCCCGACGGCCCGGACGACTAGGAACCGGCACTTTTTTTTTTTTTTTCATCGCAACGACATCATCTGTGAACCGGTTGTGTTCATTGGTACTCCGATCGAACCGTGAAGCTGGGTGCGTGCGTGGTATCTAAGGTGCAGAACGCGTGCTCCCGCGATATCGCAACGGCTGCCGACATCCCGCTTCGAAAAATTTCGCCACCTGTCGCAGCCCGTAATTGGTGCAATAACTGGCCGGACCTTGCGTAGCACGTGGGAATGCCCTCTGTGAGTGTGAGAGCACTGGGGTCTTCACAGATCGATCGATGGTCTGTCCTCCGCTGTCCGATCACAACATTGCTACCCGGGGATCCTTAGCAAACATATGACATCAATTTTGTTTGCCCGGCCACATTGGTGGGACAATAAGTTGCTATTGCCGTAATTCTGACATTCTCCTGGATCTCACAGCCGGCTTTCATTGCGTCAATTCGTCTGGTAGGAAAATTATCGGTTTCCCCGGGCAATTTTTGAAAACAAAGAAGAGCTTTGGCATTTCGCTTTTGATGTCGTAAAACAGCAATCATTAAAGAAGGAAACGGAAAATAGTACAAAACCCAGCGCCATCGCTAATGGCTTTGGCCTCTCCTTTCGTCATCAGGGGTGCTTATGTCCCTTCGGAGGATACTGCGCTTCGACGCTCCAGCACATGCATCCTTCCGGATGCTCCTCCTCCCCATCCGCCCATAGCCGGTGAGCTTGCTGTCCATTCTTTTCTTTCTCTCTTTCTTTCTGCCTAATTGATGTCAGCCTTATGATCTTCCAGAGTATCAACATCGAAGGCCGAAGTGTAGGCTGTACTCACGTATCGCTTAGGCTGAGGCTGCTGAGTTTGGAAGAGACTTTGGCGCATTCTTCGGCGGCTGGCCTGGCTTGTTGCTTGGGCTTTGATGATGACAACGGCGCAGACGATGTATGGGCCATTTTGAGTTTGACTTTGAAGCACTGGAACGAATCGAGGCAACAAAAGGGGTATAAAGTTTAAACCAGGGTTGTTGTTGTTGGGGATCCCCCGTAAGAGTTCAGTTTTTGTTGGTGCTGATCTGCGAACCAGTCTGTTGTAGGAGCTGATGGAACGCCACCTCTCTTATACCGTGGTGTCCGCTCAAACTTTGCTAATTCTAGCACAGGCTATTGCGGTTGTTTGCTAGAGGCACAGAAAAAGGCGTGCGTTAGAGTACTACATGCTGCATAAGCCCGCCTGTTGTTGTAAGTGACACACAGTATTGCAGAAGCTGGAGTTGGTCGGAACCCGACGCGAATAGAAATGAAGATGAAAGAAAGAAAACCCAGGGAGTCGAGAGAGGTCTGTTTCAACGGACGCACGGTGTGCTACCTCCGGCGCGGAGGTTGCTCAGCGCCATCCTGGTTCGTTGTTTTTCGGCAGTTCGCGTTTGAAGCGGCATCTCCTTGCCCTGGTCTGATAGGCTGCGTCTTCTCAAGGCCCATTCGTGTCAGGTAGTTCAGGCGCGCCGGTTGCAAGCCGGACGTTACCCCGCAGCAGCATGACAGCGCAGATAACATTGCACGCTTGAACCGTGCCGCCAATGACTGATGAGAGGCTTGCCCCTCAAAGTTCGGATGATGTTGAGCTCGCATTTCGAGGCTCTGCTCTGATCGTACGGCACTGATTGGCTACCTCATCTCACATTGCAGTTCACGTGGAGACTTGCGGTGGATCAGAGCCTTCCGCCGTTGGTCGAGCAAGAGCAGTCGCATCACCTTTGCAGGTGCCAAGCACATTCGACCCTTGTCAAGCAGATCTTCGTACTACCACACCTTGGGATTTGGAAGACCTCCACCACGACTTGCGGATTCGTGAAGATTTTTGATAAATATCATTGACAAATACTTCAGGGAGGGAAAAGGACGACAAAATTCTGAAAATCACCGTCATCGTATACATACTTCTGGAGAGCAAGGCAAGGTTGACCGAACCTCTCATTGGACCACGGCAGCCCCAGACCTCCTGGGCATGACAGAGACTTCTTAGTTTTCTGTCATTTTTACTTTTACTGCAAGTCCACACGTTCCACGGCAGGAGACGAAGGAAGTCTGAGTCTCGTTCCTCTCGAATGCGTCCTTACAGTTCTTGCGCTGCGTGTCATGCCGGACGCACCCTTTTCGCTTGTTCAACAGCAGGAACCGTGGTTGAATGATAAACCCCGCATGCCTGTTGCTCACAATCTTACATCAGCTAGCAGTGGTCCAGATTTCACCCTTGCAGAGCAGCAGGAGCTTTCCGTTGCAGTGACACTCTCCGTTATCGCGGTCTCTCTTCTCAAGCCTTGCCGCTTTGAGGCGTTCAGTGCAGAGCGGAGGTAAGAGATTCAAATACCGGTGACATCACAGCACTTGCAACCCTCAAGCATCGTAACCGACAGAGATTCCTGCAGAAGTCTCGCTTCAGTTACATTTCAACCCTCCATCTTGCATAGGTTCACCGCCATCACTATGAGCGCGAGGAGAATGACATGTCATTTTGCGGCCTACATCAAGGTGCTTAGAGTTGGATTGGAGGACATTACATGGCATGGCACCTTTAGTAAAGGCACGGTCATTCACTGACGATATCCTGCAGGTACATTTTAGCGCGGTGAACAGAGGGAAACACAACTCCTCGCGATTGCGAATGCCATATCGAGACAAAGAGTTGGATGGACTGGCTCAGTTGGGCGGATACAGAGGATGACGGTGTCGAGGAGGAGGGGATCGTGGTGGACAGCCCTGTGGAGTTGGTCCAAACGCACAGATGGCGCATCAAGATCTGATCTGGACGATCATCTAATCTTATCTATTTATTGCCCGGTCCGAGTCCGAAGCCGGGACGCGCCCGATCGGAGCCCGAGTTTGAGCTTCGACTTTGTCGTATGCACGGCCTGCAAATCCGAACACGAACACGGTGCTCATTTAGTTAATCGTAGCCGGTCTACAAAAGGTGATAGCGTGCCCCACCGGCAACGTTCACTTGATATCGTCTTGTTTCACTAACGCTAGTTTGCACAATGCTTAAATCAAGCTCCTCGCTCGAAAGCAAGCAACGTTAAGGCCCAGATGACTTTCCACTGATAAAGATGGTAGGTGGATTGCCGCGACATACACTCAACGATTACCGGGCATTATAAAGCCATAAACCTGACTGTTTTACGAAATCTACGCCTTATTATCCCCAACTTTCTTCCGAATACCGCAGTCGTGTCGTCGTAGAAATAAAACATACAAATGTCATACCGATATTACCGCACCTCTCTGAGAAACCTGCGCTCACACAATCCGGCTCGCCGAATCCAACCGCTGTACAACGTTCCAAAAGAAAGCCTTCTCGATTCCAATTTCTCTGTCAAAGTCCTCTTTGCTTACCCGATTGGAGATAAGATCGTTAATCTGAGTTACTTCCAATCCCCTCAAACACCACAGCACTGCATCCCGGTAAGCCGTGCCAACATCCGCTCCGAGTTCTCTCTCTGCTGTGGCGTATATCCTGTGCCTCCAACTCATCAGAGAGTCATGCACCAGCTTTAGAGCATCCTCGGAAGGATCACGCAGAGCCGAGATTGGTTCCCAAAAGGCTATCTCGGCGAGCACGATACCGAGCGAGTATATGTCGTACAGATGCTTGAATCTGGTCCTTGGACGCTTCGGATGCACAAAGTAGCGTTCTTGCTCACTGACTCCAATCTCTTGGAATCCAACCGTCGGACTCTCGGATCCTGTATTGCCTTGCTGCCATGGCTGCCATCCGGTAATGTACGGCTGTTGCAGGTGAACATGGGTGCCGGGCGAGCTGCCTGATGAGGTTGGGGGGCAGTAGACAATATTGTGGGACGATATCTGCCCATGAGACTTGCCGACACATTTCAGCTCATACAACGCCATTGCCAGTTTGCGAGCGAGTCCCAGTCTGGTCTCCAAGTTGGGTGCGGTCGCCGAACACTCAAAGTCCCGTTGGAGGAGCTCTGCAAGAGAGATTGGCTTCCGGATGCAGGCTTCCGGCATGCGGTAAACTAGGCCAAATATATCATGTTCCGCGTGGGTGTCGATTGCTACGTAGCCTAGGCATGGCAGTGTACAGGGTGCGGGCTCTCCGCCAGCATGTGGGAATACCCTGCCTGCTTCTTTTCGATTCTCGCGAACTGTGGGAGAATACTCCTCGTCGTTGGCCTTTTTTGCCTTTCTCCATTCTATGAAGACTCGTTGCTCAAGCTGCTTTTCTTGCTGGACATCATTTGATCCTCTTTGCTCGCTACTACCGCGAGCTTCGTCGATGGGGGAATCCGCAGGTGGTATGTACTGTTCCATGGTCCGCCCAACTTTAGTCTTGGATAGCTTTGTGAACGCGGCCTCTGACAGTCTGTAGGTGCCTCCTGATTTCCAGTCTTCATCGGGAACAGTGCCTGTGCTTTCCCCATGAGTATCTCTCTTCATAGCCCTAAAGGACAATGCATCGACCAATGCATTTCTTTGGGTCTTCATAGAGACAAGAGTCTTCTCCGCCAGTATCTCTCCAATCAGAGCACTCTCTAGGGATGTCTTCACGCGCCGTGGCAATAGTCTCTCAAGCCCATCGTTTAGTCCAGCCAAAGACCGCAACATGCCTGTGAAGCTGGCCTTGTCTTCATGTGTCCAATACAGCCTCATTTTGACTGCATTTCTCGATGGGGGTCTGGACGGAATGCGAGGGGCAAGGCTGTCTGTCGAGGAAAGTGATTCGTGGCTTCCACCATGTCCTAGCTCATTGACCGAGCCAAATCGTTTCAAATACCCTTCACATGCTTGCAGCAGCTGATGAACCCTAGTTAGAGTGTCTCTAACCAAACTTTCCATCCCTGGAAGGTCCAGTAACTCTTGCAGTTCCGTGCGCTTCTTTTGAGGTTCGCTTGAATGGTGTGGGTCTCCAGATCCATCAGAGACTCCCCAATATCGACCGCAAAGCCTGAACCGAGATTCTTCGATGCGGCATCGCAGCTCCAAGTTAAACTCATCCTGATCTGACGATAGTATTGTCGACACCACTCTGTAGGCATGGGCGCATGCCTGTATCAAACCGGGTATGCCAACGGAGTATCTGACGGGATCCATCTCGTGCTAAACTGATTCTTCGAGAAACAGGACTGTGCGGACAGGTTTACGGGCCGGCTAGATAAGACGTTGATATAGCATGGCAGTGCTGTTGGAGGTTGAACGTGTTTTCTGCCGTACGACATTGGCACATGTGACCGCGTCTAAAGTAAGAAGTGATTAGCGCAAACGCTAAACCTTGGCACCTCAACGAGGCGTGAGATCATCTCACATAGAATGTGCTAACGTCATACCTCTGGAGACATCGCTGATAACGACTTCCGCTCCAATCATCACTGACATTTTTTGTTTGCTGAACGGAGAGTGGCTTCTGGCGCCATAGGAATACGGAGAAGGTTATGTAGCAGCGTAAGCAGCACGAGCAGGTTCTTGCCCTTCGCTCACTATCTCTTTTTTCGCAGGAACTTTGCTTTTAAGAGGCAGTAAAAAAGCATAGAAGGAAGATAAGAAATGAACGTTACATTAACCGATCACCCTTCTACAATCCGTGCTCAGGCACCTAATAGATACCTTGATGGTTGGTACTTAATCACCAAAGAGGCGTGGGCTTAGATTTCGAAAGGAGAACTTCCGGGTCGTGCCTAATTGAGCTATATGCTTAAGATCCTGCAACTTTTCTTGGGAAGTTTACAAAATGGACTCAAACGCATTTAAAACTAGTTGATTAGAATTACTCGAAAGGAAGAAATATAAATTTTCTAATGTCACAGTGGGTACAGGTTTGAGACGATGCAGATAAACTGAAGAACAAAAGGAAGGAATACGAAAGGAGCAGGGTATTTTAGTGAAAACAAAATGTATTCACCGCAGTGAGAGACTTTTAGCAGTATTCGAGCAGTGAAAACAAAGGAAAGTTGGAATGGTAAAGACTCCATGTAGAACCAGTTCTCTTCAGGAAATTCCGAGGCTAAGTTATTCAGAGTAAAGTTGACAATATTGTATAATTTGCCATGAAAAAGCTACCGCTGCAGCTTCCTTGCCTTGGAAATCTACAACCTCGAGGCTTCTAGGTAGCTAGCTCAAGCAACTTCGCCAGAAGCAGCCATTTAATAGACTGAAACAGTATTTCATGGGAGGTTAAGAACCCAATTAATCAATGAAACAACAAGGCGCAAGACGGCGTTATTGTTATTAGGTGAAACTTCGGTGATGATTCGAACAAGCTGCTGGAAGCCTCGGCAGGATTATTGACCAATAGAAATTAGGGTTGCCATCAAGGCCAATCAAATCAAATTGCCCCTCTGTTCATGCTTGGCTGTGACTTCAATCGTATTATGCTGCAGTGCGAAGAAAGCAAATTCTACGACCATTGATGAGCGTCGAAATTTTCCTACCTCCTGGTAAGAAATTGGATTAGATTAGAGATTTTTGTAGAATTCACATAGAGCGAGTGTAAATTGGAAGAAACATTATACCTCAATTTGAGAGAAAAAGGTATAAAATAATAAGAAAGGCGATGAGCCAAATATCAATTAGAAGTTTTGATTCTGCATTGCTGGAAAGAATTAGAAGACAAATGTATATTAAATTATAACTCTCTTATACCTTGTGCCGTATAATTGGGTATCATGGCCCGAAAATGATTTCGAATTCCCCTTATACCCAAAGTATTTCCTTGTACACAAAAAAGACCTGAGCCCGACTATATGTCAAACTTTAAGCCGACTTTTTTCAATGGCTTGATCGAGGAATCTCAAATCGCCTTCTATCACGTGGATCTAGCGGGAATATTGAACATCTGCGGCAAAAAGATGACCGAACGTAGTGTTGCGCAAAAATGCAGTCATCATGCGGCCAAGCATAGTTGCCTATGTCTGCGCTGCAGTGCTTCTGCATCAATTTTCATATCCTCTGACAGCACATACTTTGCTTTAATATCGGCGCAGGTCAGACTACGTTTGCGGAAGTAGTCAGAATTATCAACTTTGGAATTGTTAATTTGTTGATTTAAACGTGGAAAGGAAAAAAATTGATAATTATCTATTGAAGTGTACGCAGTTTATATTGCTTTTTCTGTGGCTTAGTCATTTAGCACAGGTTATAAGAGGACTCCGCCTACCGGGCTCCTAACAAGATCATGCCACTCATTACTATCAATTGAAACCCCATTTATTGCAACATTATCGCAGCATTTAGCCTCTTTGTACTTCCATGATTTGGGGGCTAACTTCACTGTTCAGTGTTGACCTGCAGGTTGTGAGACGTTGTTGCGCTATTATTAGAAGGTAGTGTTCTGGCCGGCGGTTAGCTCGCCCACGCGGCGAGACAATATCCTCGTGCAACGCAAGTGCCCTGATTGGAGCGAAGTTAATGCCGGCTCATTTACCGCCGGAATCAACGGTCCAGAAGCCACCCCCACCGATAATTAAAAGGGTGGGTCGTAAAGTGGATGATTGATATTTATCGCTCATGCTTAAATTCTCCAAGAGAAGCGTTGCCTGCAGCGTGTTGACAGCTTTTTCAGGATCTGCCTTTACCACGAGAGTTGCTGCTTAGTAAAGTACCATGTGCGTGCTGGTGCCTGACGCTACTGCATCAGACTATTGTGCTGACTGCAGTTTGCGTTACTTCACTAAACTGTATTAGACGGATGGGCTGAGAGTCCGTCTTACGCACAAGCTGGAGGTACGGGTATAATAGAATAGAATTGGCTGATGGCCTTCCTTCGCAATGCTTGTCGCAATCTTCTCCGTAAATTTATGCACTGAGTTAACTTCCCCTGATTCCCGCTCCCCTTGTTGAGCATCATCTAAACGACCATGGCTTTGTATATCTTGGTTTTGCTCTCTGTCATCGGGGCTTCGCTTTCAGCAAATACAACTGTTCCATGTGAGTCCCGTTCGCTTAGGAGCATAGCAAGGTATTTCACTAACGACCAAAGTCTCAAACTCTTCAAATGCAGAATTTTTTCCGTCATCCTCCACCATATATCTATCACCTCCTGTGACACCAACAAAGTCAAGCTGTACATATGACTGCTCATATTCGGAATGGCGATATGATGCCTCAACCTGGAAGAAGATCAGCTTGTCAACTGTTACCGAAGCGGTAGTTTACCATATTATTAACAACTACACCAACGCAACATCCGCAGTCACCTCCTACTTTACGCTCACAGACTCTCCCAAAAGATGGAACCCGCCTACAAATTCTGCTGGAACCCAGGTAGCGACAAAGGTCGCAGGAGATAAAACCACCACCATTGCCTACCCCACTCCATATGCTTCGGGCACATACACGTGGTGGGGGGAGATTCCAATTACAACTAATGGCGTTGAGATCTGTACATCAGCTCTCTGGGCTTGGACACCTTACTCCTTCGTCTTAACAGAAGATCTGACAACAAAGACCCCCCACGGATGGTGTAAATTAGTGGCTGGTACATGGACCGGTTGTAGTGCTGTGACGCAAGGCAGCCCAACTACCTATGTCCAGGCACCAACCGCTCAAGTCTCTATTCAAACGGACGCTGAAGATCCGCAAGGATTTTTCTACGTGTTGGATTCGGCTTCTGGAGGCAGAGGCTTACTGCCCGGCTACTCGGATGAAATCATAGGAAACTGTGTTCGGACTGCTTTACCAGAGAACCCATGCAAAAAGAGCGACCAAACCAGTTCTTGTTTTGCGCCAATAGCGGAAATGAGAACGGCTCTGTATCTTACTGTCACATCGACTTTTTACGAATCCAAAGTACCTCCGAGGACAAGCAGCGCTCCAACGACACAGCAAATCAGCATAAAGTTGCCAGTTGAGACATCAACGAACAGCCCGGTGACAACAATCCAAAGCGAATATATATCTGAGGTTACCCGAGCTTCTACTGTCTCCGCCCCACCTGAGGAAGCAACTATACCTCCCACACTCTCGCCCGTTCAATCCGAAGAGACTAGTCCCAGTCCGACTTCTCAGGATAGCCAACGTACAATACTGGAGAGCTCCGAGGTGCTTACTTCGGGCACTACTGCTAACCCACTCCCAACACCTGAGACAAGCGCCGGTCAAACCATCGAACCAATCTCGAACGATGGGACTTCGGAAGCCTCAAATGGCGCGGTCCCCACAACTGTTGCTCAAACTTCAAGCTTCCCAGCAACAACTTCAATACCAGTTGCCGTCATCTCCGTCATCACTGATCCATCCGCCTCTACTCCCCTTCCAGTCGACATAACAGTATCTTGGAATGATCAATCGGAGGCAATCATCGGTACCCAGACTTTACTTCCTGGATCTTCTGGCGTCGTGGGTTCCGGTCCGTCCACAACATTGGTCGTGCTGCACACCAGTGGAAGCGCCACGCAACTTGAAATTGGAAGCACAACTTACGATGTTCCTGTTCCAACACAAGCTCCAGCTCCCGTGGATATACCAGTCTTCATCACTAACTCTGAGGATATATCACATGCCAGTGTTGGAGACCAGACGCTGCAACCAGGGTCATCTCCCTTCTATGGCTCCGGAGAAGCTACTACAGCAGCTGTGCAACAGTCCGTTGCCAACAGCAATGAAGCAATTACCCATGGTAGCACGATTGCAACACTGAACGTACAACAAGCAGAGGCTTCATCTCTTTCGCAGACGTTACTAGCTGGCATACCTGTCTCAAGTAACAGTCAGTCTCAACTCCTTGTTGGGACACAAACGCTCAACCCTGGATCTTCCATAACTGTGGGCTCGGGAGCTACAACAACGATAGTGGCGTTGCATACCAGCAATAGCATTACCCAACTCGTAGCAGGCGACGAAACGATAACAATACCGGATACTATACCTACTCAAATCAGCGCCGGAGTGCCTACTACGGCTTCTGAGATCACATTGGGCGGCATTACGATATCCAATGCTGAGCAGTCGCATGTAGTTCTAGGCACCCAGACTTTGGCACTTGGTTCTTCTGTCACACTTGGGTCCGGCTCGTCAACGACCGTTTTCGCACTCGAAACAAGCGGCAGTGCTACACACCTCATTGCGGGCAGCAACACAGTGGCGCTTGAAAGTAACGGTTTTGGTGTCACTACCTCCGCGGAACTTGTCTCGGTTACACCAGTAGTACCAGTAGTCCTCAGCGGCATCACTGTTTCCCAAGACTCACAATCCCACTTCCTCGTCGGAAGCCAGACAATTTCGCCTGGATCAACAGTAACCATCACCTCAGGCTCCATGGATCAAGTTGTTGCAGTGCAGACAAGCAATGGCGTCACTGAAGTCGTTATCGGAACTGTTACGCGGACAGTGACACCTCTTCCGGGTAGCAGGTCAGCGTCTTCTGTGTCAGGTGCAAGCACTATACACCCAAACTCCAGCAATTCAGGTGGAGATCGGAGCAGCAGCACTCGAGTCTTGGAATCGGCTAGCTCTTCCAGCGCCAGCTCGTCTGCTACGAAAACTTCCAACGCTGGCGCTCGTTGCGCTGATGCTGGCATGAGGAGTGTGTTGTTCATGATGGAATGTCTCTTCATCGCCGGAGGTATCTTCGTTTGAACTTTCTACTCTTCGGTATTCGGTTGATCTTACTCGGCAAACTCCTGTTCTTTCGTATCTTCCTTGGCAAGTAATATTTAGTGGGCTTTTCGGCCTAAAGGAAAATGTTGCAGTGCGCAGGGAAATATTAATCTCAAAAAGTTCGGTGTCGCTTGGAAAATGAGAGTACGTGATGTTTGTATCGCGAGAAGAGGATGTCTTTGTGCCATTGCACAACAGTTCCGTTGCCCTGCCAACACGTGGGCTACCCCGCAAATGCAAACACTACCCCGCACTTGCGCCCCAACTCGTCTCATCTTTTGTCGCATTCACCATCACTTTTCATCATCATCACAACCAACGTCGAGCCGCCCACCTCCACTTTTAAAGCATTCCAGCTACGATCTTCTTGTATTACCCTGTCTCAAACCCTTTGCCAGCGCCTGTCGCAGATATCAGTCGCTCCCACAGCCCGAGACAGCCAGTCCGTCATGTCGAACGACCCGACCGTTCACGAACAACGCGATACATTGAGAGCTGAAGGGTCTGAGGTTACATTGGACACCGGCAAGGTGGTCCCGGGAGACATATGAGCGTCACGGATACTTTCAGGATTGTTGTCTGTGGTGTACGCAGAAAGCTGAAAGATTCTCACATACGTTCCTGCTACGCTATGGGTGTATCCTAATACTCCGAAAGAGCCTACATCAACTGTGAAACAGCAGATGGAAAGAAAAAAAGTAACAGGTTATAACAAAAGACTCTTTGCCAGACCCGATGATGCTGTCCTGATAGCGTCCGCGCTATCGAACACCTCGTTCAACGCCGCTGATTCCCCGGCTGTCATGAACAGCAGCTTTATGGTTCGCCTATCCATTCTCTCCATCTGCGCTTGCTTCTGTAGGAGCAGAATCAAGTCCCGGAGCGCGTTTGTCGTGCTATGCCTTGAGACATCATCCAAGACATTGAGATCGCTGATAACGAAGTACAGTAACGGCTCATCGTTGACCTCCAACAAATCCTCCAACAGCTGCAACGCATCGTTCCATGTCAGCAGTGTTCCGTCGAGTCTCGCAAATCTTTCCACACCAAACCCATCACCGAATCTTCGCTCGCCCGCTTCTTTCTCCGGAAGCAGCTCCACAAGCTGCCGGATAAGCGCATACATTAGGGACACGAGCTCTATTGTCTCTGCCGTCCGCCCTGTCGGTACCTCATCGCGGGAAAGGGTGCAGAAGTAAGACACCACAGCGATACCCACTTTCCGAGTGGCGGTGGCATAGCGAGAGGCGATGCGGGCGGACTGTGTTTCTTCTGCTAGCTCCGGAACGCCGCATATGTGAAGAATAACTGAAGTGGAGGACACGGTGTGAGATCTCAGTCGGTACACAATGTTGGGGTCGGCAAGGAAAGCGGGAGCTTCGTCGGACGGGAAGAAGGGCGAGACTTTCGTGTCGTCGAAGTAATCGGCTAAGGATGCGGCGTGCAGCATGACCTCTTGCTTCGTATAAGCAAGATGAGGGCTATTTTTTAGGGCTTCGTTATCGTTGAAGTCGGTAGGCTCGTCTGGTATAAAAGTGAGTGATACATTCTATAATCAAATCTATTTCGCGACTTACCGCAAATTGGGATTGGGCTTGTCGGTAGGCTGCTCCATGCAGTGACACCATTTTCAAGATGTTTAGTGATCGTCGCACCTGCAATGTACATGGCGGTTTTCGACTTTAGCTCGAGACCATGCATAATGTTTTCTTGGACGACGTCTCTTTTCTCTTGTATCAGATCCTTGAACTCGTTCCTTATCGCGACACTCAACCTCTCGAAGTAACCTTCTTGTCTCATCATATTATTGTTCCTGTCATGTTGTTGCAGCGAGATCAAGAATTTTAGCTCCTCTTGTGTGGTCACTTCTGCTGCAGCCAGGTCTGCGAGCTTTCTGTTGACTGTTCTTTTATGTATCATTTCGGCAAGCCTGCGGATCTCCTGAAGTATTGTTTGATATTGGCTGTAGAGGTTCTCATTCAGGCTTCGCTGGGCTCGTTTGTACCATTTGTCTGTGTACCACTCCATGGCCTTGATCAAAAATGTAAAGATCTGGCAATACAACCGGATCACTAGGTGTTGGATCTGGATCTCGTCTTTGTATGCGAGGACTTCTTCATATACCGTGGTTACACTGTCGTTGATCTCAGTCATGGCTTGAGCAAAGCTTTCGGAGATTACTTCGTAGTTAGAAGAAGCCTGGGGAGTAAGTTAGATCTGCGCATAGAAGTTGATGTTTTACTGAGAATACCTTAATGAAAACTGTAATGGCCCCAAGGAACGGTGCCGCATAGTCGTTTCCTGAGGGTAGCACTTTCAGGACATTGGAGTGACTGTCAATAGTGCTTCCGACTTTGCGGAGTAACTGTCTTGCCTTCACAAACTTGTCGACCTCGGTCTTTTGCTTCCAGCGTGAACCAACCTTCTCAACAACTTTGTGCACCGCTCGGAAAGATTTGGGGTTTGTAGCTTTGTCTTTGAGGTCTTCTGGCAGATAGCTTTGAAACTTTCGGACAAGAGCATCAAGTTGCTGCCGATGGCTTTGAAGTTCTGCAACCTCCTCGCTCCTTCACAAGTATGTTCAGCTTGGAGCATTAGGTACAGAGCGGCCTTAGTGCCTTACCAGGTTTCGTCTAAGTATTGAGCAAAACTGTCTTTCCGCTGCTGATGCCACTTTGTTTCATCTACCATGGCCTCCTCTAGCCTGGATCCTTCTGCGTTTGCTAACCGTTTCTCCGTGTGTATCGCAAATGCCCTCGTCACCTCCGAGATCGGTAAACTTTGGGGTGGCATGGAAGATTTGTAACAGTAGGGGGAACACTATAGAGCACTAAAGACGCTCAGTAGACAAATATTTGTTGCAGGGCCATTCAGCAATGTATGGGCAAAAATTTGTTTGAGGACGTGAAAACCGCGTTAATCGATGATTAGTTCAATGAGTCACAAGGCAACTGGAGGGCAAAGGTCACACGTGAGTTATTGTTGCCTGGTGCGCTTTCCGCAGTTTTGGTTGACCAGTGTCACGTTCTAATGGCTGAACAGCTTGTTATTGGGCATAAGCTCGGCAAAGTCAAGAACGAATCATAACCTCGATTATGCACGTCTGCCCGAACTTGAGCGAACTTGGAACCCCATAATCGGCACCATAATAACAATATGCTTGTAAGCCGGCCTTGGCGCTACCAATATTGATTGAAGTAAGAAACGTGGCGCAAGGCAAAAATCATGCATTTTGTGTCTAAGAAAAGCAAAATTTTCCTGGGAGTGTGGGCATCAGCTGAAGACGCTAAACATAAAAGCGCACACTTGTGCAGGATATCCTTCAATGCACTGTGAATCCAAATACTGCCACGGGTCCAAAACATCAGCCGATACAGCACGTCCGATCCAAAGAATAACCACCCTTGTTGAACATGGAATTGCCAAACGCGAATCTCAGCAATGAAGAAGTATATCATACCGAAATGGGGACAATAATCATTCAGAAAACTACTAATCATCTGTGAAGCTAGGCGCGAGGAATTGGACGCCGCTTGTCCCCTTAAATTACTACTACCTATAGAGGTATATATGCTGCTATCTAAAAGAACACGTTTTCTCTTTGGGATCATTGCTTCCTTGCAGTGGATAAACGTGTGGTGTAAGGGGTAAGGCTGTAGTGTAACCACTAGAGAATGAGGCTAAAAAAAAGAGAGTTATCGGAGTGATCCTGGCTGACATATATCTTTGTCGTTTCCGTTGACGAGTTCTTCTCATCGTCGGCAGTTGCAGATACGAAATGCTGCAACAGTTTTACCAATATGGCCATCAGTGTCCATTTTCTCGCTCCAATAGTACGTTCTGCGATCGAGTTCCCATTGGTCGGGGTCAACCATGACCTGTCCGACATACTAAGATTTTGTCTGTGAATCAGGTCACTACCATAAAATGTATTAACGAATGAACTTACCGGTCTGATTGGTGGTGTCCTTATCACACCATCAAAATCGAAGCACCCCTTTTTCTGTAACTTGAAGTACAACTGTCCGCGATCTTCAAAGAACTTTCTTAGCTCTTTCCCAGTGTGACCCCTTATTTTCAAGTCCTCGTGTTGCTCCACGTAGTGGCAAGGGATTATGTAACAATCCGCAATGTCAAATACGCCATCTTGGCTGGCCGAAAGTTCCCATGAATTACAGGCGTGCAAGTACCGTCTGCCGCCTTTCATGTTCCAAAAGTAATGACAACAATCTGTTATCCTTCCATTTACCATGCCAAAGGTCATTTTCTTGAAGATGTAAGGTTCATAGTCGCCTGAATGGCCCTGGTCAACATAGACTTCCATACCTGGTCTCAACAGGAGCCATTCCATGTTCGACGTTAATGACCCCTCTAAGTTTCGCTGTCTTTCTTCCTTCACAGCATCGCCATATTTGCTTCGGACAAAATCCAGAAGTATTCCGATATGATCGTACGTGTAACGATTTGGGCACGAAATTGACGCAGCGTCTACCAGTGCGGCACCAGGAGCAAAATTTTCTCTGTAAGACCCTAAGGCTTCTTCGTGGTGTCAAATCACTGCGTACGGTTCTTTGATGACAATTTCTTGGCCTGAGAAATCTTGTCCGGGGTAGTACTCTACCACGTGCCGGAGCGCGCTCTGGACAGGTGGAGAAATAATCCTGATGTAGGACTGCCCTTTGCTTCGGAAAGAAGGCGGTGTATCGTCTTTTCCTTTCTCATTTGCCCATGTCAAGTTGACTGAGAGTTATTGTGGTCGTCTGTACTGCTAGCGGAGTGTACTGCTGCATCATCATGATATACGGTGTCCATGGAATCTTCGTTTATATACTCTACTTTGTGGGTGATTCCAGGCAAAGATTTTGAGATGTCCGTGTGAGCAGCACCAGACAGATCCTCTTGCGAATTATCGACCGCAGAGTGGGGCAGTACAGTGGCATTGATCTCATGAATTGCGTTTTGTGGTAATTTGTTCTGATTTAGATGATGTCAGCCAGGATCACTCCGATAACTCTCGTTTTTTCAGCCTTATTACAGTCAGTTGTTACACTAAAGCCTTACCCCTTACACCACACGTTTATCTACTGCAAGGAAGCAATGATCCCAAAGAGAAAACGTGTTCTTTTAGATAGCAGCATATATACCTCTATAGGTAGTAGTAATTTAGAAGGACAAGCGGCGTCCAATTCCTCGCGCCCAGCTTCACAATATAGTTTTTCAATCTTGCGACGGTATAAAACGAGTGGGCGATGACAAACTCGAGCCACTTCCAGCATTTTTGTGTGACGCAAAAACACCAGCCTTTCTTTTAAAGACTAGAGAATGGGGTAAGCCCCTTCTTAAAGCAACAAACTTAATTTAGTGTTACAATCACGCTAACATTTAGTTTTCAGCTTATCTAGATGTCTTGGGATTCAAAGACGCCGTCTTTGACAGAAGGATCTTAGAAGATCTAGTCATGGACAAACAAGACAAGTTGTTGATAACTAACTTGACACAAAAGTATGTCCGTAGCCTCGTCATCATGAGTGAAAAGGAACAGGCCAAAGGACAAACTCCGAAGGAGCATGGACGAGATGTTCAACTAGAGCACGAAAGTGTCATAACTTTGTCAGAGCCTTCGTGGTCAACTAATTTCATCAAGGGGAAAGGCGAAGGTCTTATATTCCTCTTGCATGGAAAGCCGGGTGTTGGGAAGACGTACACGGCTAGTTCGTACCATTTTTACTCCCAGCTCTAATACCCCGATAATGCTAAAAACTGTCAAACAGAATGTGTAGCAGCTCACACTGAGCGTCCTCTGTTATCCCTGAACTGTGCTGATAATGGCACCGATCCAGGAACCATCGAAGATAAGCTTAACAGATGGTTCAAACTTGCCAAAAGCTGGGGCGCCATATTGCTCATTGATGAAGCCGACATATACATGGAGCATCGGCAAGTCCAAGACCTGGCGAGAAACAACTTGGTTGCTGGTTTTCTCAAAGCATTGGAGTATTATCAAGGCATGTTGTTCCTCACGACGAACAGGGTAGGCACCTTTGACAAAGCCTTCATCTCAAGAATCCACATCATGCTTCATTACCCACCTTTCACGGACAAAGACCGCGAGGACGTGTGGGAGAACTTTTTCAGAAAACTGGAAAGCGAGGACGACAAGATGAGAATCCAAGAGAGTACAAGAAGCTACGTCACATCCGAAGAAGTCCAAAGCCTGCAATGGAATGGAGGAGAAATCCGAAACGGTTAGTTATTCACTGTCGAGCATCTTCTGTTTTACCTGGGGAATACTTACTAAACGGCTTCCTAGCATTCCAAATAGCAGTTGCACTCGCACAAGTTGAAGACAGCCGCGACAAGAAGGGCCTGATTCTGATCAAGAGGGACCACATCAGGTCAACCGTGCGCATGTCGAAAAACTTCAAAGACTACTTGAAGGATCTTTACAAAAAGGATGAAACGCAAATGGCAGCCACGAAAGGACACAGGCTGGACACTTTCGGCTCAAAAACCTCCGAATGAGAACCAGTACAAGTAGGCATCGAGCGAGAGATCTTCGGGAGAAGAAAATTGAATTTTCTCTACTGCAATTGGAGGTAGGTGTATATACACAACTATAAATTTCGTAATCACATTCGCCCTATCGATTAATGACTGTGATGCCATCATATCACAACTGCCAATACTGCCACAACACCGAATATGTCCCTAATGATCCGGTATAAAATTTTTGGCGGCTTCCCATCAGAAGCAGAGTTTGGACGAATGAACACAAAAGCAAAAACACCAAACCACCCCCTCCCTCCCTCTGTTTCTAGGCACCCTGTCGAATTCCAACTACACTGAATCCGTACTGCTAATCCAACCATCCGTATACTCACTCACTAAGCCCCCCGTCTTCCTTATCTTCAGTGAAGAAAGGAACAGTGACCAACGCCACCTCAACGCAATAATCACGCATTTCAACACCATTTCCCCCAGTAGCCTCTACCACCTTCTCTTACAAGTCCTTCATCCGACGCAGAATTTCAAAATTACCCACCCACCCTGATACCAAAGCACGCCATTCCCGCTCCCACAGCGATCTGTAATCGCAGCGCTTAATGAGCCAATACCCTCCAAGCGAACAGGGACCCCTAGTCGCCTGACTTGACCCGGGCGGGGCAGTGCGTTGCGACCAGGAGATGGGCCGCCGCGAGTACTCGATCTCGTCACGGCAGTGCTGTGGCGTTGTGGTGTTTGACATGTGCAAGTGTTTTTATTGGTGGGTGGGTTGGCAAGGAGTTTCGGTGTTTGAATAAGAAAGCCTCGGCTTTAAGTTTTCTAGTCTTCATGTGCTGCTTCTTTGTGGCTGTAGTTTTTTTTCGGTTGGTTGGTTGTATCCCTCTGTGCGTCAAGCACTCGCGACCCCTCCTCCCCTGCTAGTAACGACAGAATCTATACCTGGCCGGGAGAGCTCTAAACCTGCTTGAGCAAATGTTTCACGTCGTATGCTCGCTTCCCTTAACAACTCGAGAAAAAGGACCTTAGTTAGTGCAAGGCGGTACGCAGGACACCAACTCGACCTGGCCGGCGGCACATGAAGGGATGAGAGGAAGCATTATCACAGATTGGTATTGGTAAATGAAAGTTGCAGTCGGGAGAATTTTATGTCATTAATATAATATTTTTGTTTTCGACAGAGCCGCTTCCATTTAAAGCAATTAAAATCCACATCAGCTCTAACAAAGCACAAGCTGCACTCCTTAAACCGGAGTAAAAGTAACGTCATCAAACTGAATACGACCGTTACCAGCATTTTGATCCACATCGTTAGTGTACTTCACAGTAAGAATAATACTCTCAGCCGTCGGGGTATACGTTCCCGTAAACTCAGTCCAGGAATTGCACGCCGTGGTCCTGGTATTAAGAATACTGATCGGGTTGGCGAAGTCTGTGCCAATAACGACGTACGCCTCGAACGTGCCGGGCACCGCGGAGCACCATTGGCGCTGGAACCACGCGCTCAGCTTGTACTCGTAGCCGGGGACGACGGTTAGTTGCTGACTGATGCCGGAGTAGCTGCCCGGGTAGGTGCTGATGAGGAACGAGCACGAGTACGTTCCGCTGTGCACGCGCTCGGCTGGTGCGTATGCTTGAGAGACGGTCGAGGTGCCGAAGTCGGACCATGGCCGGATTCCGTAGTCGCCCTCGAAGCTGGGGTTTACGAGAACGTTTGTGGGAGCCGGAGGCGCATAGGTGCGAGCAGTTGTTGTGGCTTGGGTCGTAGCAATAGTTGCGATGGAAGTCGTGATAGCGTCGGTTACTGAGGTCGTGACGACGGCACTGGGCTCTTCAGTCGAAGTAGCAGCCTCAGTGGTAGCGGTAGAATCTTCGGTAGTAGTCGCTAAAGTTTCAATGGAAGAAGTACTCTCAGTCGACGTAGCAGTTTCAACGACAATGCTATCAGTAGGCTCAGTCGATGTAGCAGTCTCGACAGCAGCGGTGGAAGCTTCGCTAGTAGTAGTGATGGAGTCAACAGAAGTGACAACTGAAGGCTCTGAAGTAGTAACCACAGGGATATCGCCAGTCAAGGTAGCTGTCTCGGAAGGTGCCGTGGTGGTATCTTCAGCGGCAGAGGTCTCGGTGGAAGTGACAGTAGCTTCAGCGGTGAGAAACTCAGTGGTGGTAGCAGGTACTTCGGTTGAAGCCTCCTCGGCAGTCGTCTCAATAGTAGTGGTGGCGTCATTAGTGGAAGTTTGAGTAGCCGTAGTGAGTGCCCCAGTGATGGAAGGGTCATCAGTAGAGGTTTGAGTGGCGGTGGCTGATGCGTCTGTCGGGGAAGAGGCATCAGCAATAGAATTTTCGGAAGTAGCAGCTGTGGAAGTCTGTGTAGCAATGGTAGAGACTTTAGCAGTAGCAGTGGAATCCTCTGCAGTGGCAGTCTCGACGCCGGAAGTACTAGTGGCAACAGCAGATGTCTCCGCGGTTAATGTCTCCGTAGCCACGGTGGAAGTACCAGCGCTGGAGACGTCAGTGCCCGTGATCGCAGTACTCTCTGTACTAGCAGTGGATTGCGAAGCAGCAGAAGTAGAGACATCGGAAGTAGGAGTTCCGGACGCGGCAACAGTAGACAGCCCGCTGCTGGAAGACTCGGTGCTGGCAGTGTTTGAAGTCACAGCAGTGGTCGCCGTCGACGCCGCACTGCCAGAGGTGTGAGCTGAGGAAGCACCAATTGAAGATGCTTGAGAGCTGGCAGCGGTCAAAGGCGTCTGGGCTCCAGTAAAAGAAATCTCCTGAGATGTGCCAAAGCTCGACGATGCCTGGGAGCCAGCGGAAGAAATTGTCGGGGTGACAGTGATAGTTGTGACTTGCGCAGGCAGAGTGATGGTGCGTGTAATAATAGGAGCGGTAACGGTGCGGATGCCGTTGGGCAGTGTAAAGGTTGTCTCCTCGCTCGGCAGAGTAACAGTGGTCGTGCCACCAGGCATAGTCATAGCCATAGTCTGAACGGCAGGAAGCGTGATGGTAACAGTTTTAGCTTCTGGAGCCGCGGCATGAACGGTGATAGTGGTAGCCTGATCAACAGCAGGGAGAGTGACAGTGGCAGTCTTGGCAGCTCCTGGAAGCGTTAAAGTTGTTGCTCCACCGGGAACTGTAATGGTCGTCGGCTCCAACGTCATTGTCGTAACCTGGTTGTTCCCGGGGAATGCAATAACAGTGGTTCGGCCAGGAACTGTAACCGTAGTCGGCTGAAGTGCCATCGTAGTGATATGACTGGCCTCAGAGAGCATGATAGTCGTTGTTTTGCCCGGGGCCGTGACGGTTACCGGCTCCTTGTGGAGCGTGACAGTGGAAGTTTGGCCGGGAATAGTGATGGTGGTGACATGACCAACACCGGGGATTGTCAGCGTCGACAGCACCGTCGAGAGAGTGAGTGTTTCAACCCTCATAGAGGGGACTGTAATGGTGCTTGTTTCTATGTGTGTCAGTGATGGGCTAGGAACGTGACAAGGCAATGGTGAGCTTACGGATAGAGGTCACCGTTTGAGTGCTGGCACTGTGCCATTCTGTATGCGTGATGGCAGCGAGAGACGGGCATTGTACATCGCGGCGGTCATGACGGCTGGGTAGGGCAACGACAAGCTGCGCCAGAGGCGCGCAAAAAGCCGCGGCGAGGGCGTACTTCATGGCTGCGAGCGCGAAGGAAAACGAGTGGCGGATGAACCAATGCTGAAGAAACACTCCATAGTGAACGCTTTCTAGGATTTATATATATGTTAATCATCTTAGGAGAGGTGAAGGAGGCGCGGCCAGGCGCTTGTGGCTTGACTAGTGTGCGGCTGAAGTCGAGACTGACTAGCGGAGGGCGCCGCCTCATCTGTCAGTGTGCGGTAGTGAATCCTCAGACAACAACGGCGAGCTCTATGCATGCGGTGGGCTGGTAGCTCAACGGCCGTCGTGTAGATGGCGTTGAGGTGGTGTCTTGGTGTTGTTTGGGAGTTGGAGAGGCGGAGAGGCGGGGAAAGGGCGGAGTGAGGAGCGGAGCCGAGCTGGGCGGACACGCGCACCTCATCTCCACGCGCGTGGTGGGGCGCGTCCGCGCATTTGATTCTCAGCCGTTCCACCTTCTTCCTTTCGTTCACAACCCAGCTGAACTCCTTTGCCATCGCATGACAAGATCAAAAAGTCGACAGAATTTGTATCCGTCATGTGCCATTTCGCATTCATTTCCGTCTGCTTGTCGCAGCAGCACCATCCTATTTTCAGCACCCACAACACGACGCTTAATCAAACCGCGCCACCTCGACCCAGCATCCATAAGAGAGTGGGACCTCGCGGAAATCTGCGTCTTGAAGCGTCGAAGCTGTGCCTTCACACTCGTCTGCATCTCGCGTAGAAGTGCCGCAGAAAAACGACCCGGAGCTTTGCGGATATGATCCGCTTCTATGAAAAAAGGTTGTGACATACCATCAGTGAATTAATTTCTCATTATTGCACCACCAAAAAGATCTGTTAACAATCTTGCACCTAGAAAAAGAGCCAAAACACGTGTGTACCATCTACTCAATGCCATGCGAGATCCCGGCTCATCAAACACAGAACCATCCATCCCACAAACCCCCAACCAACGAGCGATAAGATCGTCCATCAAACACAGTAAGAAGCGGGGTACTGATAATGCAACCGCCCCGAGCAGAAGAAGCCACACGCTCCTTTGCCGCACAATGACTCAGCGCCCCCATACAGCCATCCCCGCCCTGCATACATCAAACAACGCCACTCCAGCCTCCACCCACCACACCATCACCCTCCGCCGCTCTCGCGCCTTGTCATGACCATGACCTCGCCTCTCGCAACCACCACTACTGCGACCACATACCTGGAAACTTAACCACAGCCTCGCCGCCGCAGCAGCAGCAAGCACAGGCTTCGTGGTCGGCAGCTCCGGTACTCCATGGAACGTTATGATAGCAGCGACAACGACGTTTCTGATCACCGTCATAGCATCTATAGTTCCTGTGCCTTCGATCTCAGGTACGTAGTTTACTACTTACTTCCTAGTTGGGCAAGGCAGGTTCTAATATCGCAAGCAGCTGCCACGACGGGTTCGAGGCTGAACAAGGCTTTGGCTGGACGGGGCCTTGCTGCGAAGATCGTGGTTTATGGTGCGGTGGTTGGGGCTTTTGGTTTGCTGGGTGTGTTTGTGCGTTGATGAGCGACAGGAAGAGACGGTGTGGGCTTACGCGATAAGTGGTTGGCGGTTTGCAGATCAAGGACCTTTGCCGTTTTTTCGCGGATACGGGCCAGGGTGAGGTGTGCGGCTCTTAAGCAACGACTGTGCGATTAGTTTTGGTTTAGATGTCGATATTTTGCTTAGCTGATTCCTTCGTCGACACCGGTATTAGCTCATCGCTTTCGCAGCATCGCTGCTGTTTGTGTATCTCATCAACATCCACTTCTGCCGAACAGGGTAGCAGACACACTCGTATTAAGCCAAAAGCTAGCATAGATCCATGTGAAGATCGCGGAAGACGCGGCGATCCGACGCTTCTTCCAGAAATGCGGGATACGACGCGACCTGCATATGTACGCACTTAGCGATCATCGTACTTGCTTTTCCTGCGCGACCTCGTATAATGCATCAGCAATACCACTCTGTCGTCACTACGACGAGGAGAACAAGAAGAAGAATAACACAATGAGAACCCACGAATGCAGGGTATAAAACCCCACCAAATCCCAACCTCACACAGGGCAGCAAACACAACCCCCAACCCCCTCAACCCCACAGCAATGCGCCTCCCTCCCCTCCCCCTCGCCCTCGCGGCCCTTACCGCCGGCACCGCCACCGCCACAAACACCAACACCACCTACCCCGACCTCGGCAGCTTCCACATCACCTCCCTTAGCGCGAGCGCCGGCCGCGGCAGCCCTGGCTCCACGAAAACGACCATCGCATTCCAGATCCAGGAGGCAGGGAACAGCGTTGACAGCGTTGTGGACGCGTGCAGCGCGCAGTGGGACCTGAATGGCATTGGGTGGCCGCATGGACGGGTAAGCTGGGCCCGCTTCAGTTTTTTGCTTTTGTGGTCTTGTTTTTGGCCAGGTGGCTGATGCGCGGTGCTTATACGCGGTGCTATAGATCTTCTGCAACACGACGGCCTGGTCGTGGTTTTTCTCGCGCCACGAGTCGTTTGGCGAGTTCACGCTTGAGCTGACGCACGGGTACCGAGAGCCGGTGGCGGCGGATGGGTGAGTTTTGCCTGTGTGCTTGCTTGTTTGTTTGCTTGCTTGTTGTGTACATCATGCTTATGGGATCTGCAGACAGCGCTTCTTCCGCGAAAAGTATGCCCGTCACAGCTTCACGAGGGATAGGCGTGCCGGCGCCGATTGCCATTATGCTGCTTCGGGCTTTTCGCAGTGCTCGTGGACGGATCTGGACATTCCGGTTTACAACTCGACGCTGCTGGGACCTATTGGACCGTTTTAGAATGGGCGGGTACTGTGGTACATACTGTATTGTTATCATTGCATAAGTTCTTTGTGATGACGGGTTAATACTTAGCCTTCCCGTGGCAAAGATCAAAGAACCTGTGTTGTATGACGGTGGGTAAGTGGATGCAATAAAAGCTGGTCGTGGGCAGAGGCTCTGCTGCAGAATCCGCCATCCGCCATCCGCAGTCCGCATCCGCGCGATGTCGGAGCCGCCAGCACTCTGCGTGGACGGGCCGGCGGACCGGTAGTGACGGCACCGAAGCGGACCGGGCGGGGCGTGGTGTGAGAGGCTGCGTGGTCCGAAGCCGATGGGTGAAGGATGAGGTGAGAAAATACTCGCCGAAGAGGTGAAGATTGACTTCCGTGGAAGAATGAACGACGGCCGATGACGGATGAGAGCGAGACGCGCCCGGCTGATTCCGGAAAAGGCTTGGCGCGACCGTGGGCGCGACCGTCGACCGTTGACGCGACTCGCGCGTCCCCCCGCAGTAACAACTTCCTTCCCTCCTTCTCTTCATCAAGCCCCTGCGGGGGAGTCCTGTCCTAACCTTCCACAAGCTTCTTCCATCACGAACATCGGCCTCGCGCAAGCACCGCATCCGGCTCCTGGCTCGCTCAATCACAAACAAGCCGGTGGGAGCTCCGGCCTGGGCGTCGTCTGTTGAAACTGACGCCAAGCTTCCCCTCTCACGAGTCGCCAGCCCAAGTGCGCATGAATTCCGCTTCCTGGCTTGCGTCGGAGAAATTGGGTCGAGCACGTTTTTTCTCTCGCCTATCGCTGACCTTCCTGGCCGAGACGAGTCTATACACGTCGCGTGCCCCCCCTTTGCCTCTATCTAAGGTCCTGCCAAGCTGGGCAAGGCCTCCATCCGAAGCGACGTGCCAATGTCTCTCATATTCGCCTGGCGGGGGGCACTGACTATTGCCGGTAGGGCTACCTTTCTCAAGCTCTTATCATCAATATAAAAGTACCATTCTTCCGCTCTGCCATCTGTTTCATTGTTCTCTTCATCCCATTCCCTTCTCTCTACTCACCCTTGTCACTCATTCACTGAAGGCTGGCCTTCCTCTTCTTTTCTTCACCATGCTCTTCCAAGGACTTTCCCTCGCCCTGCTGGCCCAGTCGGCCTTGGCCACGCGCCCCTTCCTTAACGAGCCCGACACGGGCATCCAGGATGCTCTTCCTGACCTGCAGCCCGGCCAGCTGCCCAACTTGACGTCCATTGTCGGCCTGCCCGACTTCGACTTCGTCGCACGCAACTACATGAATGTGACGGGTTACACGTACTACCGCAACGGCGCCGCCGGCGAGTGGTCGTACCGCAACAACCTCGAGGCCTACGGCCGCGTACGCTTCAGGCCCCGCGTACTCGTCGACATCACCAAGGTCGAGAGCTCCCTGCCCACGACGCTGCTGGGCCACAACGTGTCGGCGCCCTTCTTCATCAGCCCGTGCGCCAAGGCGGGCTACGCGCACGACGACGCCGAGGTCAACATGGTCAAGGCCGCCGCCGACGCCAACATCCTCTACGTCGTGTCCGACTTCTCGAGCAAGTCCAAGGACGAGATCCACGCGGCCAAGACGGCCGGCCAGGTCCTGTTCCAGCAGACGTACGTGCAGGAGAACCTGACCGACGTGGCCAAGCAGCTGAAGGTCGCCGAGGACGCGGGTTTCGCCGCCATTGTGCTGACGGTCGACTCGGCCGCCGACGGCAACCGCCACCGCGCTGAGCGCTTCAGCGTCGGCTCCGCTGACCCGGGCTACACGTACTTCACGTGGGACTACTACCAGACGCTGCGCAACATGACCAAGCTGCCCATCATCCCCAAGGGCATCATGAGCGCCGAGGACGCGCAAAAGGCCGTCGAGCTCGGCGCCCCGGCCATCTACCTGTCCAACCACGGCGGCCGCCAGCTCGACGGCAGCCCCTCGCCGCTCGAGGTCGCGCTGGAGATCCACGCCCAGGCGCCCGACGTCTTCAAGAAGACAGAAGTCTTCGCCGACGGCGGCGTGCGCTATGGTGGCGATGCGCTGAAGCTGCTCGCGCTCGGCGTCAAGGCCGTCGGCCTCGGCAGGCCGTTCATGTACGCCAATGTCTATGGTCAGGAGGGCGTCGCCAAGGCCATCACCATCATGAAGCACGAGATTGCCATGGATGCTGGCAACCTCGGCGTCGGCGATCTGAAGAAAATTGATACCCGCTACGTGAGTTTTTTTCCTTCCGCTTTTTAATTAAACTTTTGTGTGATGGTGACTAACGACAAATGGATAGGTTAACTACCAGTACGACAACTGGTACAGCTAGATTACTGGTGTTGTGTGTGTGTGTGTGTGTGTGTGGCTGCTGATGTGTGTTATGTTGGTGGTGGAGGTTGTCTTGACGTAGAATACTGTAGTAATAGATTCCGAAAACTAAGACGTTGCTTTCAAGAAATTCATGCTTTCTCCGACCGTACTCCGTAGAGTAGGCTCGTAGAGTAGCCTTGTCCGTTCATCATCCGAAGGTTCGTCATGCGAAGGTGGAGGAAAAAGAAAAAGGAAAAAAGAGGAAAATGACAGCAGTGGCGCTAGCCCCTATCACCCTAACCCCGCGCCACAGACTCACTCACTGCGCCGTTGCCCTGCCTGTCTGGTGATCGTGATCGCTGCGTCGCCGTTGTGGTGCGCTAGAACGAGTCCAGTCGCGTACGAGTACTCGTAGAGTACACTCGCGTAGAGTACCCCACCACCATCCCTTGCTTCCACTATCCGCCACATGCCTACGTACCTACAGCATAGGTAGGAGTACCTGCATGCACGCAAGCGTAAGCATCGTGCATCGTGCATCATGCACTACCGTCATCGCACTCGCACTCTTACCGTCGTTACAACCACTAGGTACCTACATTCCAGAGCAACTAGGTGAACTCTGACCCCGACATGTCTCGGCCTACACACTCACACCCGCACCTATCTCCGCGCCTACGTGGCTAGCTACCGTGCTACCTAGTAGCTATACCACCCCGCCCCGGCCTAATAGTAATAAATCCTAAACACCCTTCCCTGCTTCTATGTAAAACGCGCGCATACTTGCCCCTTCTCCGGTTTTCGGGGGGTGGTTATGAGCGTGAGGCCTGCTTACACAATGCTTGGTCATGCTTACCTTCGCCTGCTTTGTCGGCCGAGAGACTGACTGCATGACTCGTGTCGCCGGCGTCGGCGTCGGCTGCGTGTGGGGCTCTCGGGCCGGGCGTCGGGTGTCGGGTGCTGGAGGTCAACCCAGCAACAACAACAACCTCTCAACCCTCCACACCCACGCACGCCACACAGTCGCACAGCTCTCAGCACTCAGCATGACGAAGGCCAAGGAGCACCCAAAGCGACCTGCCCCCAGGCGACCAGCTGTTTCTCAGTACCGCAAGCGACGTGAGCCTTCGCGCGACCTACTCACACCCGAACCCGATACCTTCACACACACGCCTTTCAGCGACTAGACAACGCCATAGAAAGCTGCTTTAAGGAAGGCAGTCAGCGTCAATGCAGAGCGCAGTCCTACAAAGCGTGTCAGCAAGAAGCGAATTTTTAAAGAGTATAGAGTCTACCCGGGTTAAGGCTACAAGATACTCGCTTCTTCCACAATACGTCGCACCGGCCGGGTTAATAAGCTAGGCAGGACTTCTCTCGTAGGGAAGAAGAAGGCTAAGTCTATCCTACAGTAGATTACTCGGTCTTATAACAGAAGAGCGCTATCTTACAGCGCTATTGAGTTGAGTTGTATTCATTTACCCTGACCCATCGCCCTGAGCGATATGCAGGCTACGACTATTCAAGAGTTTTGCTACTAGTTTACATGTGATTTGTCAATCTGGTTATGAGTCGATTGAGTGATTGAGTTGAGTTGAGTTGAGTTGTATTTATTTACCCTGACCCATCGCCCTGAGCGATATGCAGGCTACGACTATTCAAGAGTTTTGCTACTAGTTTACATGTGATTTGTCAATCTGGGAGGAAAA